TTGCCGAGTCAGTTTGGTTTCGGATTTTATAAAACGCCTAAACTGCTTGAACTCGTACGTGCTAGCATTCGTGCGTGCCATTATTTTTTATGCCACGGTCCTTTGAAGACTAGCTGAACCGCTCCAAATTGTCGTCAAAAAAGTAGTATATGCCTTACCCATCCTAAACACCTGAACGGCTACAACTTCCCGAAACCTCAGTAACGCTCGAACGTAACTTTCCAGGAAGCGCAAGCTGTTCGTGCAGAGCGTCTTCCCGCAAGGCATCCGCGACGCCAAAGACGCCAAGGACCTCGCCCAACGTCTGCTCCCCGGAGAGCGAAAGCTCATCTACGACGTGCTGCGCAAGATCAGTGCGTAAAGATTGTTTTAACTGGAAATTTCTGACTAACTCTAGCCATCGACCAGTACCTCGACGAGAAGCGCGACGGCAACGCCGAGGTGCACGCCGATGATATCGTCAAGATTTGGTGGGTGGCTAGGCCTGGGCTTAGGACTTGGCCTAGGCTTTGGCTTCGGCTTTGGTTAGGCTTAGGCTTAGGCTTAGGCTTAGGCTTAGGCTTAGGACCAGTCCCCGACTGGTATACTACGTCTTGGGGTCGGCAGCTTAGGCTTAGGCTTAGGCTTAAGGCTTAGGCTTAGGCTTAGGCTTAGGCTGGATAACTCTAAATTCAGGTACATCTACTACATCCCGGTGACCATCTTCGGCTTCCTCGACAACGCGATCCTGATCACCGTCGGCGAGGAGATTGACGAGTACAACAATTCTTTGATTGCCTTTAACTTCAAAATTCAGACACTTTGGCGTCGTGCTCGGCATCTCGATCCTCGCCGCCGCCGGCGTGTCCAACATCCTCGTCAACCTGCTTGGCATCGGGCTGCCCCGCATCATCGAGCGATGGGCCGAGGCTTTTGGATTAGTGTGGGTCGATTTCGGCTGTTTTGAAGCGCTTTCTACTACCGACGACTTCGAGCAGTACAATTCGGGGGAAAAAACTCGAAAAATTGGGCAAAAAACGTAAATTTGAAAGCCTTTAGACGCCCCGTACTCTCGGCCGAGCAGTGGAACAACCGACACGTCCGCGTCGTCGTCACGCTGGCTCGGATTTGCGGTAAAAATTGGTGTTTCTTCTTTAAAAATTCCTTAAACTTTAAAAATGAAAAATATTTTTCTTTATATCGCGGTCAAAAGTTTCGTTTAAAGTTGATAGCAACCTAACTTTGAAAAATTAAAGAAAAAAGACGTAAAATCCGAAATTCCACTATTTTTCAGGCGTACTGACCGGCTGCACGCTTGGCCTGCTGCCGCTCTTTTTCCTGAACACGGCACATCGACAGCCGGTCGTTGAGGGATCGGTGAGCTCAATTTCCTAAGCCTAAGCAAAACCTAAACCAAGCCCAAACCGAAGCCCTTAGCCAAAGCCGAAGGCTAAAAGCCCAAACCCAAGCCTAGGCCGAAGTCTAATCCTAAGCCTAACCCCAAGCCTAAGCCTAAGCCAAAGCCAAGCCCACGCCTAAGCCTAAGCCTATTCTAAGCCTAAGCTTAACCTAAGCCCAAGTCTAGCCTGAAAAAGCCAAGCCGATTTTAGCAATACGCCGACTCGGAAGCCGACGAAGACGAGTTCATCGTCGTCGGCGACTCGGCCCCCGAGCAAGCCGACCCCAACGATGAAGACGCCGTCAAAATTGACGTGCCAGCGGCGCAGGTAGCCCAAAAAAAAAGGCAGAATTACACTAGAGCTAGCTTTAGACACGGCCTACAGTCCCAATGGAATGCTCGCCGTCGCCCTGACGCCCAGAACGTCGACTACTAACGAATTTTATTAATTTTAATGCGAATTACTGTTTTAATGCGAGTTACTGTTTCTTTGTGTATGATTGATGTGATACAACGTTGAATAAATATTGATCTCAATTTTTTCTCAGATTTTTTGTGCAGAATGAACTTCTGGAGTAAGCTGACGGAGTATGATGTTTTACGACCGATTATCCTAGTTTAGCGTGATTTTTACACTTCCGGGAGTTAAGTTTTACTATTGCTAACAAAATTCAACGATTAAACGTTTCAAACAAACTATTTTCCTGGCGAATTTGATAAAATATGATCTGTTCAGGGGTTATTTACGCCCTTTTAACCGACGTTTTGCATTGCTAGCGATTTAGTTTTCAACGCTTAACGAACTGTTTTATTCAACTTATCGACAATCTTAAAAAAAAACAGGAAAGCCGCTTTTTTTTACTTGGATTCTAAAACTTGTGATGTTTTGAGCGCAAAGAACGATCACCCCCTGCCCAGACCACAGAACAATACTCCGCACGCCCACATCACGTGCCATTTCGTCACGCCCAGGCCGGAAAGACGGCAAAAAGAGGATCCCGTGTTTCACCGAGGTCAACCCGCGAAACGAAACCGAGCGGTTCAACAATTTGGCTCAAAAATTTTAACTAGCGAAGCTTCTAGTTTTGTTGGGCGTGACTTTGTGACCTTGGAAAGAAATAAGGAGGCTTGGCTCGAGCTAGGAAACTCCTCAAATTTTTGGTTCTTTGAGTTTTATGTTTTTTTTTACTAACTCGCCTGAAATTTCGGCATAAAAAGCTTCTCACTGGGCTGGGCGAGATTTTCTAACGTTCCAGAGGTATCATGGAGCTTTTCTCGAGCGGAAAAACCCCTCTGTATTTTTAATTATTTGAGCTTATATCTTTGCTCTGAAACGTGGCTTCTTGAAAATATAACATTTCTGCCACCAACTTTGTGGGTTTCTTTAATCTTAGCACTATTCAAGGCTTCTTCTCTCGCATAGAGATGCTAGGCGAACCGATAAAACCGATCAACCGACAAGCACAAAGCGGGGGAAACGGGTTATTCTCATCCAGCTCATGCTCCCCACGTTGTCCTAACGCCTTCATGACGTCGTGCTCCCTTAGCCAACCCTCCAATTCAGAGAATTCACGTGCGCCGATAACGGCATGGATAGATCTCCCCCGTCGCCATTTCGTAAACAACCCACAACGCCTCTCCCCGTTGTGCACTTGCGCTGACGATTTTCTTGGATAGAACACCGGGTTTTTCGTTCTATTTTACCTGCTCTTTCTTCGAATCCTTTGATTTTCTTTGATGCCAACAAACCTTCATTTTTCAGGTATTATGAGACGATGCCCGGTAAACACCAACGTTGGCGCGTTGCGCAAGCGTTTCTTCAGCACCACCAGCACGCCGCCGCAGCAGCCGGCAATCTTCACTGAGTTGGACCACCGAGGTGCGTTTTACATGAAAAACTTGTTTATTTTAGTATTCCCGGGGCTTATTTTTTACTTTTTTACCTATTTTTACGCATTGTAACGTAATAAAAAGGTTTATGCTAGCCGTTTTAGGAAAATTTAGCCGTACCTCAAGCGAAATGTTGTTTACAAAACCTTGGAAAACGTTAAATTTTTTAATTATAAGCAAAAAAATCGATTGCGTTACGATTTTCGGAAATTTTGCTTTATCAGTTTTTACGCCTCAGTTTAGCAAAAAAAATAATCAAGAGCCGAAGAATCTAATAATCTCTCGCTTCAGAATACCAAAACCCGTTGCTGGCCCCGCACAACCAGCGATATCCATTCCCGGGCAATGTCAACGACGCCCAGCTCTACCACAATCAGCCGGTAATTTTTGGGCCAGTTTCGGCAACTATTCGCAGATGCAGACCAAAAAGAAGACGGCCCTCGAGATGAACACGACGTCGTTGGGCGAGCTGCTGAAGCGCGAGAACGCCGCCTACATGGACCGGTCCCAGGCGCAGAAGGCCCCCGAGTCGCTCGACGTGCTCGATGACGCTGAAGTTGAACTGACGGCTCAACAGTGCCCGCGATTGTTGAAGCGAGGTAGTTAGCTGACAAATGTCATTCAAAATTCTTTAGACCTGAAGCAGCTCTTCCCGAACATGGACCTCTCCAAGGCGCACGTTAACGTCGTCAACTTGAGCCAGTACTCGGAGGCGGACCAGTCGGCCTGGACCCCGGAAATGGAGGCTGAGCGAGACAAGCTGACGGCGAATGTAAGGATTTTCGGAACGTATCCTCCTCTTGCCAGAATTTGGTTCTTTCAGAATATCGGCGGGACAACCAAAAAAAAAATTTCTTGGGAACGAATTTTTCGAATATAAAAAGCGGAAATGTTCGTAACGGTTTCTCACGACTCCTGCACGTGAACACTTTACAATTACAAAAAAAGAAACACCGCCTTTCGACCAGAATGTCACCTAAAAATGTCTAGCCTAATTTAATGTTTTTCCATAGTTAAATGTTACAAAAATACTGTTAAAATGCTTCCGATTAAGTTAGTAGGCATTACAAGACTGATAAAAAAATCCCCCCCCCCCCGACCTGATAATGCGAACGAACCAAATCTAATCTAATGTTTTTCAGTTCATCACCGCCGCGACAGCCATCTGCCAATCGTTGGAAGCTTCCGGCTACTGGGCAGACTTTGTCGACCCCGCCTCAGGACGCCCCTACTTTGGTATAGCTTTTGATGATGACGGTAAAATTGCTGTTTGCGGTTTTAAATATATAACCCACTAATTTCAGGCCAATTCACCAACGCCACCCTGTTCGAGACCGACCCCGCCTACCAGCAGATGGGCTTCCAGATTGAGGATTTGGGGTGCTGCAAGGTATATTATAATCCAAAACTAGGGTTTTTCAAAACCTTGAAGCATTTTTGCTATTTTTAAAAGATACAAAAATCTTGATTTTCGATCGAAAAAACGGAGGAATGGGAACAAAATTTTTTTAGGATCCAATTTTGAAATCCAGGGGCGTTTCGAAACTGTGCTTTTGACTCTGCCTGAACGTAAAAACGTTACAAATTTTATTAAAAAATACACAAAATATCGATATTTTTTTGAGCGAAGATTTTTTCGTTTTTAGATAATTTTTTCTATTTGGGATATAGTTGGATTTTACTGAAAACATTTTCTAATTTTTCCCTTTTTTCAGGTGTTGAAGCACATCAAGTGGGGCTCGCACGCGTTCGTCGGCACCATATTCACGGACGCGCCGCTGAACTGCGAGCTGATGGAGGCGCTGCTCGAGGACAAACCTATGGCCAGCACCACCAAGTCGGCCTGAACATGCCGAGCTCCTCCTCGCCCCCTCAATTCTCGGTGTACGCTGTAAATGTGATCCAACTTAGTCCCGCCCCAATTTTGGAATTCAGCTATTGGTCCTACTGAATTGTATTATTAAATCGTGTTAGATGTTATGTACAGCATTGACTTGACTTGGAGTCAGTGATTTCGGGGATTTACGGTCCCGCGCGCCGGGCTGCGCGTCTCTTGCGCGCTCGTTTATATTCGGAATAAATCGTCTCAATGTTCACCCGGGTGTTTGTTTGTCGAGTCGAATCACGGACAAGTTTTCAATAGGTTTTGGCACAATTTTGTGAAGAAACGCGGTTTCCAGATGCTCTCCCGAGGGAGTAGCGCATTTCATCGCTTTGCCCGTCACCATTTTTTAAGCCCGTCCTGTTCGACGGCGTATATAGGGTGAGTTTTGACTTCTTGGGTCCTTTAAGGGGCTGTGGATTTCTTTTTTCGGGACTATAAAAGCGTGGCGTTTTGGCAAACCGGATTTTCAAGCTTGTGGCGCTACAAGGATCGGCTTTTAAGTGTTTCCAAGGCTTTTGATGTGGCATAGTTTATTCGATAGATCTTGAAATTCTGCACAAGTCGTTTTTAGACGCTTTTCGGGTTTTTCGATGTGAGACAGCTGATCCGATAGAGCTTGCAATGCTTGCCAAGTTCCAACCCTCAAAATCTGCCGTACGATAACTTTCAGGAGAAACAGTTGCTCAATGTTTGCATATTGCTAGGCGCGAGGGAAAAAGATAGGTCGAACCGGCCCTTTCAGAGCGAATTTTGTTCAAAACCGTAGCGGTTCGGCAACTTTTGAAAAATTGGATCTTTTTAACGTCACAAAACTCGGAAAACATCTAATGACGACTCTTTGCTAGTAAAATTATGGTTATAAATCACGGGCTAACTTGCAAAATCAGAGGTGTTCGAGTGTGTAGATTACGTGACGTCTTTTCGTCGGCTATCCACCTTTTTTAGAATTGCTTCATATTCTCAAGCCCTACCCAAAGCAGAGCCGCTAGACGATGAGCTCCCCAAGGCGTCGCGAAGAAAGGAAAATCTAAAACTTTCGGTAAACCAAGTTAGAGAGGTTTTGATGTGTTTTTAAGACTGCCGCCAGCACGATAGCACTGGATCGCAGCAGCGCACGGCGAAAGCGGCCGGCCGATACGAATTTGTTCAGTAAGCTCTGATCTCTAATTTGTCAAAAATTGACGTTTAGTCCCCGAATCCGAGGTCAACCTCTCGGCATGGCACAAAATGGAGCCGCGCGGCCTCCTGTCTGCCTACCTTCAGCTGTCCAAGTCCAAGTTGACGCTGCTGATCACCAGCACGGCGGCTGCAGGGTAAGGGGTTGTTAGTTTCTAGAAATTCCGTTTTAGTTACCTCGTCGGCACCTCGCCAATCGAAGCGTCCACGCTGATCGCATGTGCTGCGGGGACGGCTCTTCTATCATCGGCGGCGAATGCGTGCAACCAGTTGCTGGAGGCGCCGTACGATGCTCAGATGAAGCGGACGCAGTCTCGAGTGCTGGTCGTCCATCGATTCTCGCCGCTACATGCCTTGACGTTCGCCGGAGTGGCGAATGCTGCTGGATTTGCGCTGCTTTATAACGGTATGTAGTTTTAACACATTAGGGCTATGTTTTTGCAATAGGTATGTAGCTGGCGTACACTTGGTGTCCGAATAAAAAAAACCCTTCTAACTCGACGCTGAGGTATCGCATCGGGATGATAGCTATGCCATTCGAAAGCCCCTGAAACGACGAATTTGTAACAATTTTCAAAACTAAGTTTTTATTTAAACGCGGGATTTTACAATGTTGTAAAATGATTAAAAAGTGGCGCGTTTAAATAAAAACGTCGTTTTAAAGATTGTTGCAAACTAGCCGTTTCAAGGGCATTCGAATGGTATAACCATGAGCCCGATCCGTCACTTTGCTGTTGAGTTGGAAGTGATTTACTTTTTTGGGTCACCCTCTATTCTCCAAAATTTCATCTGCTAATCGTTTCTTGGTGCCTGTCTAGCGACTCTGAGTCAACTTGGACTCTCAATTGCTCTTTTTTTCCTACATTTTCAAAGCATTTGGGAACTCTAAGGCTTTTCGATTCGCTAAATTTTATGACCTAATCGTTTCTTGTCACTCGGCTAGCAAATATGAGTCACCTTGACTTTCGATTTATCTGTTACACTGACCAATCTGGTTTTTGTGACTCATTAGCTCTTCCTAGCTCTGATTTAAAACTTCCTAATTTTTTATTTTTAGTTTGCAACCCGCTGGCTGCCTGGCTGGGCGCGCTGAACTTTCTACTCTACGTCGGCGCCTACACGCCGCTAAAACGGATACACATCAGCTGCACGTGGGCTGGGGCTTTGGTGAGTTTTAATACTTACCTGAATCGATTTTTTTTATCGGTTTTCATCAATAATAGCTTTTTCCAGGTCGGCGCCCTACCACCGCTGATGGGCTACGCTGCGTCTACGGGTTCACTTGACGCCGCTTCTTTGTCGGTTTTGAAAATCTTGCTTTTCGAAATTTTCCTAGTTTTTTCGGCTGAATATTGATATGTTTTTTTCAGAACGCTAGCTGCAATCCTCTTCTCCTGGCAGTTCCCGCATTTCAACGGGCTCTCGTGGAATTTGCGCCCCGATTACAGCAAGGTGGGTGTTTAATTCTGTTTTCCGGGCTTATTAACCTATTTTTGAGATATTCCTGAAGTATTTCAGTAATTAAAAAGTTTCTATTTATGTATGTATTTTTGCAGGCCGGTTACCGGGTGATGTGTGTCACGGACGAGCGCCTTTGCCGGGTGACCTCCCTGCGGCACTCCCTGGCCCTGATAGGGCTGTGCTCGATTGCAGCCCCGCTCTCCGGGCTGACGACCATCTCGTTCGCCCTTGACACGCTGCCCGTCAATGCGTATTTGGTAAGCCAGATTTGAGTTGTTTTCATTTGTATTTTTGCGCTAAATTTGTCCTACCTAAAATCTCGAGTATACTGTCAATTTTGGAGTTTTAGCTTAAAGCCTGTAGCGTGGTGGTAAATTTCATTTCAAGTCGAAAAATTTAGAAATTTTTTTTTGGCTAAAACATTTTGTAAATTCGGCATTTTTGGTCAAAAAATCGGTATTTTTTTAAAATATTTTTAATCAAAATTTGTATGTTTTTTACGCGTGGGGATAGCAAAAAACGGTTTAGAATAGCTTCCTATATAATTGAAAAATTGGGTACCTAAAAAAAAAAATTGGTCCCCCGGTAATGCGAAAGAACCGAAAACGTCTTTTTTCGAATATTCTGGAACGAATTTTGATAGCGTAGCCAAAAAAAAATACTTGGAATTGCCGAAATCTGAGGAAAAATACGGAAATCCCGTTGCCGTAAACAGACTCGAGGTTTTGTTAAAGAGATGAGGACGGCATCTGTTGAACCCCCCTTGGGGAGGGGGGGTTCAACAGGTCCCGCCACAGCATTCCGCCCTTTACCAGTTGTGTTCGTTTGACAGGGACAGGATGGCAGGCATACAGGGAAAGGGAGAATCTGCGCTCTGGCCCCGCCCCCTGTTCTCTTCCCCCGTGCCCTATAGCCTAGTCTCACTTTTTCGTCGCCTATTCCGCGCCCTACCCCTCCCCTCTGTGTCTGCACCCCGCCGTCTGGCGCACTATCCGCCAGCCTACTCACGAACACCGCGGAATCATGTGCCCGCGGCGATCTCGCGCGAGAGAGGGCTCCCAGAGGAGAGGCGCAGAGACACGGGCGGGTTTTTAGCCCTCGGACGTAACGAGTCACGAACGCGGCACACCACTTTACACCGCGTAATTGATTGCCCAAACCCAGTTTTTTAGTGACAAATAATCTTGTAAAGGTTATTCTAACTCTAGAAACAAAAGAAAGATAGTTGTAAAACAGATATGAAGGTGAAAGGGGCATCTTCTTGCGTGTTTCGATCAGATTGACGATTTTGCTGGTTCACCACACATGACTAACTAGTAAGAATCCTTACACCAATTCTGATTCAATTAGGAGCCGACTGCCATTATAAGTAAGTGTTACGCCATGCACTTTGCTTGTTGACCGTCTACAAAACCAGCCTAGCTTCGTCGAGAGCATTTAAATGAGGATGAAACCTAATGATGTGACGCTCGAGCATGCGCAAAACACTGGTGATGATAGGGACATTGTAAAGCGCTTGTCTGATTTGCTTTTTACCGCTACCATTGCTCCTTCGAGTTCAGCCCATTTAGCCTCTTCTAAGTCTTAGCCTACGGCTATCAGTTATACTGTGATATTTGGGTAATTCACAAAAGATTATTGCATTGCGAACATTGTGTGTACAATGGTTGCTAACGATAATTGCTCGCGAAAATGGAGAACAACGTGTTGGTGACTATAGATGAGCTTCTTCGTCTTAGAACAGGCTTTCGTATTCGTACTGGCGTGCAATGAACCAGAAAAACCGTCAATCTACTCGAAACACGCAAGATTATGCCCCTTACACGTCCAAATCTGTTTTACAACTTGCTTCTTTACAACTTTACAACTATCTTTTTGTTTCTAGCGTCAGAATAACCTTTACAAGATTATTTGTCATTAAAAAACTGGGTTTGGGCAATCAATTACGCGGTGTAAAGTGGTGTGCCGCGTTCGTGACTCGTTACGTCCGAGGGCTAAAAACCCGCCCGTCGCAGAGACATTTTCTTTCCCTCGCGTAATCGATTGACTTATGCCCCCCTATCTCTTTAAGGATCACTGCTAGATTGCCATTAGATTTGTTTCGATTTTTTTCAATCTTTTTCAAATTTTTAAATATTTACCTTCCCTTTTCAGGCATACCTCTCCTACAAATTCTACAAGACGCCCGACTCCAAAAACTCGCGCCGCCTCTTCTTCTACTCGTTGCTCTACCTGCCCGTCACGATGCTGCTGATGGTCATCGGTGCCGTCAGCATCACCGAGGAGGAGCGCCAGCGTGGCGTGGCCGACCGGGCGCGCGACGCCGCCAAGTGGGCCGGTGTCGAGCTGCCCTTCTAGGAAAATTACTTTAAATTGTTGTCTGTAGTTAGACTAGAAAGTTGTGCACTTGTTTTCTGCTTGTTTGCTCGGATTTTTCACCTCGTTAGAGTTGCCTTTTGTGACGAATTTAATGCCTTATAAAATGCACAATTTTCCGCCGGAAAACTGTGCGTCGTTAGGTTTTGTTGCGGAGGTCGCGAAGTTTGTAAAAATCCGATTTTTGACTCAGTTAAAAAGTTAAAAAAATTGAAATCGGAATTTCAGGCTTCCACGTCTCCTTTAAAAAGTTTGAAGGTTATTTAGATAGGAAATTGAGGGTTCTAGGTCACTTTAAACTGTTGAAAGCGTCTGTAGATTTGTTTTGAACGTAAAAAATATGTTTTAAATAGGAACTTCCGGTTTTACACCCCTTTAAAAACGAAAATAGCCTTTAAAAAGGAAATTTTGCCTTCCGTACCGGCCTAAAACGTAAAAATAAATTTTGAATAGGAAATTGTCGGTTCTATAATGCTTTAAAAGTTAAGATATACTTTCGAATCGAATTTACGCTCATTTTCTACGCTCCGACACCCCAAATCTGGTCCCGATTCAACGGCTTTCAACTAGGCCCATTTTTAGCTCTAGCAACCCCGCTAACCGCCGTTACATAGTTTACAGGTCTTCTTCCCCAGCCACTGTTCTGTTTTTGTCTGTTTTCCCCCGATTGTCTATTGCTCGATTAAGATACAGATGTGCCGGTCCTAACCGCCGAATAAAGTTTTCTTAAAAAACCCTGTTTCTTTGATATTTTGGCTTTCAGCCGCCCCCCGGTCGCACCGACGATTCGATATCGATTACGGCCATTGTCGCTATTTTCGTGTTGCGGGGCATCATGGGCCGTTTTGTCATTTTTTTTCCGGGGCGGTTCGGCTGTCTGTGCAGTGTTGCCGGGCTGGCAGGCAGGCCAGAAGCCCGGGCAGTTTCTGGTTTTTGCCCAAACTAGGACCGCTGCTCTGTATATTGGGGGACGATGGGATGGCACCTGGTTCCCCACGGTTTTATTAGGCCCTCCCCCACCGCCGCGGCGATGATCACGAGCCCGCGTTCGTATTTGGAACGTTATTAACCGGGTTGTTAGCTGGAATTATAGCACTAGGTGGATGTTTTTGAGGGATTGGGAAAGCGCGATCATTTTCGCAGGGTTAGGTCGAGTTTTGTTATAAAATTGAAGATTAGAGCGGCGATATCATTAGAGAAATCGTGTCTTGAATCAGTAGTGTAATGATTTTTTGGTGTGTCGTTTTTCGTACTGATTTGACAATGTTTTTTAATCTTTTAGAGCTTGAATTATGAAGTCTTTTACCCGTTAAAAACTTCATAAATCGATATTTCTCGACTTTAATGTCCTACTAGGTGAAAATAGGTGGTTTTCTGATCTGTTTCCGTCCCTTTAAAGTGGGGGAACTCGGATTTTAGCAGGAGGACCAAGCCCTTTTAAAGGGCTGCCGACGGCATGTGTCGATCCCCCCTCATCAACAAATTGGCAAGTAGCCAACAGGGAAGAGAGCGCGCCCTGGGGAGAGGCGCAGAGACATTTTGTTTCAGCGCGTAACCGATTGACTATGCCGTCGGCATCCCTTTAAAGATTGCCCAGGGAATTCTGGCAATTTTATTTACTTTGAGAGCCCGGAAATTGGTGCTTTGAAAGATTTATTGACGACTTTAGCAGCTTGGAAATTCGGGATTTGGGATCCTTTTTCGTTTCTAGCCCACAATATCAGGCCGTTGAAAGTATATAAATTTCAAAATCACCCCCAAAACAAACCTATAGTCCAGCCTGATCGGCGGTTTAGACGCGGCGCGAGCCATGGGGGCGCGTGTAGTGTTTGTGATCGGGCGGGGGGCACACGTTCTTTTGTGTCCGCAGCGCTCGGGCCACGCAACGGGCGCCTGTAGACGGCGCGGAGTAGCCCCCCTATTCCGTCCGCTTCCGCCTCAATCGGGGCCGTTCTCGCGTCTCGCCGCAATGTTGCGAAGATTTTCGAGGCTTTTCTGCGCTTATGGGCTTCTTTTTGATCGTTACTTCTTGACATCATCGTTTTTTCCAGCTACACATTCTGAGCATGACGATCGCTCTCTCTCTCTCTCTCTCTCTCTCTCTCTCTCCTTGGTTCTTTGAAGGCGCCCGGAAGGCAAATTTTTAACCTAAAAGTTCGTTTAAAACTGTCATTTCCGGTACTGGCCTGTTAGCAGGGGGGATAATTTTTTACTTGTTGTTTTCTAAACCTACCTACAAGAAAGCTTATTGTTATAGTATTTTTCGTAGTTTTTGATTTCTAGAACGTTTTTAAAAATATTTTTAATTTTTGAAAATTTTGACGATAAAATTAAAGAAATTAAAAAATAAAAATTTTGGGCCTTCTAGGATTACTGGGAAAAATTAGCTTGCCTCCTGCTAACGATCCAGTACCGGAACACCCGCATCAGCTCCAGAATCTTTGTACTTCGCTCTAGGCTTCACCTCACCTGGTCCCCCGTCCCTGGCGCCTCTCCTTTGTTGTGCCCATCTCCATCCCACCACACTACTCAAAAGCCCTAACCCTTCCCTGGCGATGCCCCTGGGCGCATTTTGCCCCCCCCCAGGGGACGAGCGAGTAGGAATAGCTGCAGGGACACACACGCACACGGCGCCAGGCTCACGCGCTGCCAGGGGGGATCGGCTCGCTCGGGGCGCTGCCGTCCATGCACCGGTTCTCCTCCTCAGTAATTCGCGGCTAGCCTGCCCTTTTTGCTTTTTGCAGCCTGCTGCACCCTACGGCTTTTTTGAAACGCTATCTCCCACCCGCGCTGGCCCTCGCAGCACGGCTTTCCCCGGGCTCTCGAAATTCATTCTGGAGCTAGGGAAATAAAAGATTCGAAAATCCGTTTTTTTCGTCCATATTTCTTGAATGCAAGCGTGATAGCCTGCTAACACGCGTCCTTCAACTGTATTGTTTGACCTAACTAATTTTATAAACTGCGGGAAGCGGGGGATTCTACCTTAGAACTAAAATATGAAGATTTTTGTGCCATAATTTGTTCGTTAGCAATTTTCAGGCAGAGCAATTTTCTGAAGTAATATTCCCGACGCTGACGATACTCTCGGACTCCATAATTAAAGACCCGGGGAAAATTGCAACATCCAGCGCCTTCGCAGTCGCCTTTGATGAGAAACGCATTTTTGATGGCGCGCCTGTGTAAAAGCAGCTGTGGGGGCCTAATGGATTTCGGGGTGGGCCCCGCGCGAGGTTTTCTAGGCTTCTTCGCATTTGTTTTATACCTCATCCATCTTTTTTTAAAGATAAATCGTGTTTCTTGGACTTATAATTTAACGGCCTTGAAAGTAGTGATTTTTTTAAAAGTTGAGATTGGTTTTCTTTTTTGGCTCCTGACTTGACTTTTCGGGAATTTTCTTAGCGATCGTAATTTTCTCTAAAGGGACGTCGACAAGATATTTTAACCTTATCTTTGTTTTAGCGCTGGATTTGGCATGTATTATTTCTTCCTTGTAGCTAAAAGCGCGGGTTTCAAGCTCGACCTCAAATTTTCAAGCTGAGTTCGACTTCAGGAACATGACCAGACCGATTCAGATGCCGCACGCCAGGAATTCCTGGGCCTCTTCTCTTTGGGCTTTCCCCCAGCTTATCCCCATGCTCTTTGTGCCCCATTTTCCCTGCACCTACTCCTCCTGCTCCTCCTGCTCCCCGGCCACGAGGTGTGTGTCTTCCGGCGAAGAGGTGATGCTCCCCCCTGCCCACCCACAAACACACGCAAGCCCACAGCAGCACACTAACCACTCTGCGATTGATTTTGCCCCCGCAACCACCCATCTCCGACGACGACGAGCCGCGCTTTTCCTCCTCCTCTCCCGTTAGTCCGCAACGACCCCAGGGAAACCCTTGCCGCTTTTTTTGGGGGCATTTTTTCGGGCACCCCCGTTTTTCCGGGCACCAGGCTTCGGGGCCGCTGACCGGTAAATAACCCCCGCTCGCCCAAAATTGGCCTAGCGAAAAACTTCCAGATGCGTGGAACTTCCAGACGTTTTTTACTATTTTACTATTTTCAAACTTTGCTTTGAGCGCGATTTCGAGGTTCGACTTCGAGGACCATTTGGGAAAATGTTGCCACATTTTCAGTCTTTTTTTTCTTTCAGGTTACAAGTTAGAAATTTTGTTCTGGCATAAATTTGTTCGACTTGTCGAATTTTGCGTATTTTGAGACTTTTTAGGGATTTTAGGACCCTCTTTTTCGTTTTCTTTGCCTGCCGTTATTAGTGAACAAGAGAGTTCTTTTTAGCTTCCAAGAATTCTCATCATACCCCGTTTAGAAAAGGTGAAATTTCTGGAAGCCGATATTGCTCGTTTCTTTTGTTTTCTTGCTGGACTCCTGCCTTTGCTTTTTTGCGTAGCGGTCTTTGAATTAGCTGTGTCGAATAAGCTAAAAAAAACGAAGGACAGATAAGATAGCGTTGGCTGAAAATAGTGTAATTCTTTCGAGGTTTTTTGTTTGTCTTTTAGGATCACGATTTTACCATTTTTCTTCCTCAATTTTCCGCCCCCGACTAGGGATGACCCGCACTTTCGTTGTTTTCATTGCTTACTTGAAAAGTTTCAACTTTCGGAATCAACTTCTCTTTTTTGCAGATGAGCTCCCCGGGGTGGAGCGCGCAGCCCCGGCTACAACAGAGCTCATTTTCGCCGACGCGGAGTAATGGCAGGTATGCTTGAAGAATTTGACCCTAAAAAGCATCTCCAGCTACCATCCGGAGTACGAGGAGTCGCGATACGGCCCCTCCGGCCACGCGTACAACAATTTCGAGTATGCTTCCCCGCAACCGTGAGTTATTTGCTAGATTTTGGCCTGGTTCTTTAGGATATATTTACATTAAAAATACTGGATTTAAATTAGAAAACTTTCAAAAAAAGGTTAGAAAAATGTTAAAAAACGCGAAAAATTGATAATTTTTGCCGAAAAAAAATAAATTTTCGTTGAAAATTGGATTTTTATTCAGAATTTGTAAAGTTTTTATGCTTAGAAATAGCTAAAAACAATGTAGAAGCGCATGCGATATTCATGAAAAACTAGGCTTGCACCGAAAAAATTTTCTTGAGTTCGTCCTTTGCCGATTGATATGAACTCATTTTCAGCTTCTCCAGCGGCTACACAAATTACGACCGGGACGTGGAGCGGAATCGACGGCCATTTCGCGGCGACTCCGAGGCGTCGGTGGCCCGGCGAAGCCCACCAAGGAGTCCACAAAGAGTACGTTTTTCAGGGTTTCTTTCTGCTTACAGTACTGTCGCGTACACGAATTTTATCGTCTTTTTCCTGAATTTCCGGAATCGGGAATTTCGGGCTAATTCCCCAACGCTCAATGGAGACCTGAAAACCCGAGGATCGTGACCGGAAATCCTTTCCGGAAATTGGGTGCGCGGGGAACTGCCGATTCTCTGAGGGTTACAGGATAAAAAAAATCATAGATAAAGTACGAATCCGGATCAAAAAATGTATTGATTTAAATTGTAAAAGGTGAATGGCTGATACGTTAGAAAAAGTTAGTAAAACGATAAAATCGCTCCAAAAATTGCTAAAAATGCGAAATTGGTACTAAAAAAGCTGAAAGCACCGGCAATTAATATAAATGCATAAAAATGTTTTTAGGCTTGCTTAAATCAAGAAGTTTTAGTTATAATGTGCTTTAAACGGGACGGAAAAGCTGGCGAAAAGAGAATATCACCCGAAAATTGTCTAAATATACTAAATTAACGAGAAAAATGAAGTTTTGAAAATTTTAGTGGATAATATAAATTTATTGCTGGTTTTAAATTATACTAATTCCTTTGAAAATTATCGTACTATATATAAAAAATAGTGTCTGTGTGTCTGTGTGTGCCACTTTGCATCCACTTCCGTCTGTCTGTCCGGAGGATATCTTGATAGGGGATGGATTTTAAGGTATGTATGATACGTCATTAGGTGCGTAATGGCCTGGAGATGACTGCACGCATCTTAGATTCAACAAAATCACCTATTTTCGACATTAAATTTAAGTTTTTGTGAAAAGTTCTTTGTTAGGAATAATTAGCATGGACCGGAAGTTGGGATTCGACTATATAACGGGATAGGAGAGGTTGTTTTTCATTTTTTGTCGTCTGAATGCAGGACAATTATGCAAAGTGAAGGATAAAATGGGGAGAGACAGGGTCCAGGGTTGAAAAGTCGCGAAGCGCTTTTTCAACCCTGGTGACATTTAAAAAAGAAGTTATTGCTGTGTTTCTTTAGTGCAAGGAGTCGTAATAGTTAGCATGTGGTTTGTAAAATTTTCTGAAAATGCCAAATTGAGCTAAAAATTTTATTGAAACTTTAATTATATTGAATTAACGTTAATCATACTATATTTCTAGGAAACGGCCATCCTCGGCGACGACACGGGCGACGAGGAGGACGCCGAGGTTTCCGTGATGCGGCAACGACGGCCCTCCGAGATAAGAAGTATGTTTTCAGCCCTTTTTTTCTTGGGGTAGCTTTCCCTAATCCAAATAATACCCGCGTAGATGGGCTGGTCTGGGGGACACGCCAGAATTGTGGATTAGCTCCTTATTTTCGCTGCGGCGACGCAGACCCGTTTTTTTTCTGGGGCTGGCTATTGGCCATGGTGTAAAAATTGAGACGTTTTTGGTGTCGTTTTATTGGGTATTTTTTGTCCTTTTTCAAAGTTATTAAGTTCTGAAACAAAGAGAGGATCAAGCTGGTAAGCTAGGATCAAGCTATCAAGCTGTAAAAATATAGGCCGTTGCGGTATTTTTGAATCGCGTGAATGTGCGTTTATTTTTGTGGACGTCTTTAATTTTTCAGCGAATCGGATACAGAAAAAGGATGTGAAAACTTCTTGTGGAAATCGGCGTTTTTAGGTTTTTTTATTGAGTAATTTTGTAGTTTATATGGTTTCTAATTTGTGTAATTCTGAAAAGCAAAAACAATCTTGGTACTGGAAATGGATTCTGAATTCTGAATTCGAAGCCAGCGCCGTTCTTCCAGCTGACTGCCAAATGTTGCCCTCCCAGGCAGCCCCGTTGCGAAACCTATTAAAGTTTTATCGCGCCGCGTGCATCTAGGGCCAAAGAACCACGAGGTACCTGTGAGATTTACGTGTCGTTTTGAGGCGACTGGTTTTCTGCACCATTTTCCCTACTTGTAGCGCGTTCCCGCGTCAATTTCATTAATGTGTCAGTGGGAACTTGCTCAGAAATTTCTTGTCTATGCTTCATCTTGATTTTTCCTTTTCTGGGAGTTTTTGCACTTTGTAGCGTCGAGTTTTCATTAATGCGTCGCTTGAAACGTTGAAAGAAGTAGCTATTTCGTGGTTTCAACTATTTAGAATTTTGTCGAATTTTGTCAATTTTTAGATTTAATTAGGAATTTTGTGGTCGGTTCTTTTGCATTTGGGGGGGGGGGGTGGTTTTTTTTATGATCATGGCTATTTTAATAGTAATTTGGTTTTAAAGTTTTGGCTATATTTCAAGTTGAAACAATAACAAAAAAAAATTTAAATTAGAAATTACGGTATCGGCCGTTTTAGTTTTTTAAAATTTGTTGCCGATCCTAGCGTAACTGATTTTCTAGGATTTCAGCCTTTTTCCGAAATCGGTTACAAATTTTTCTTATTCGATTTTCTAATGCCAGCAGACGCGCACTTTCCCATTCCCCAGGAGGCGCTTACGCATCCGATTTGTCCCACGATTTTTTCCTTATCTCCCAGCCAAATTACCCGTGTTCGGCTCGATTATCGTCTTCCTGTTCTCCTGCTCCTCCTCACCCATATTCTAGGATCCTCCACCACATCCATCCCCCTCCAGAATTTCCAGGAGTCGCCATGGCGACTTTTTGTCGGTCAATCTTTTTTTTGGCTAGGGTGAGGACGTCCTTTTTTGGCACCCCCCTTTAGTTAGGGAGCGCCGCCTCGGGGGGCCCCACCCACTTCCGGAAATCATTTTTGCCCTCGTCCCCTAATTCGCGGACACACACTCGATTTCCGTGGTTTGCCTGGCTGTGGCTGGCCCTCCTAAATGGGCCCCCAATTGGCGCACCGATTCCATCCCGGCAACTGCTGCTGCCCACAGATTTTGTACCTGTGTGGGAAAGTCCGGTTTTTTGGGGCATTTTTTGCTGATTTTTGGCCCAGATATTGATCAGCTTCTTGTTTCGATAGTTAGCTTTTTTGGGCAGTTCGGCTTTTAGGTGTCTGGAATTCGCCGAAACGGAATTTGTAGTCCTTTAGGAGTGCCATAGGTTTTTTTGACCCTCTGACACTTCCTTCGAGAGGGTACTGTAGGTTCTCGGAATTTTCTTCTCAATGAATACTCCACTTTCTAAGGATGATATTCGTGAATTTACTGTAGCTCTTTCGCGAAGTCGGGAAGCCGATGAAATCTCGCTTTGTATCACGTTAGGATACTGTAGCTTTTTTTCGCGTTTTTTTTTAGAACGAGGAAATCCATTTTAGCGTGCCAAAATAGGTTTCCCGCCCCTTGACAACCGTTAAAAATCTGATACAGTACCCTGACAAAAAAGCTACCGTAATCGGTATTCCAACAAGATTGGCCTAAAAAGTACAGTATCTACAAACGACGGTTTTAGTTAAGCGGAATTTTCACTTGAAAATTTAACCCTAAAAAGCACCGGTTCAGGATTGTTGTCTTCCTGCGGCCTTTAAGACGTTACCGTATGCCCCAATTCGGCACGGTTCGCTCTTGGAATTCTCAATAATCTCAACCAGTACCGCTTCTAGTCAATGCAATTTTAAACTTTGAGAAGTACAGTATTCCCATTTGAATATTTTTAAAATCCGTTTTCTGGCTTTTACCTGGCCCGGCCTAAACTAAATTATTTCCCCTCAAATATTCACAGCGATCCTGTTTTCCCCCAGCCACCCCTTTGTCCCCCCCTGCCGAACACAACAGTAGCCCCTACGGCCGCCGGCCAATCTGGCCCTCCTCCTCCCCATCGCAAAATTCCCTATTCTGCATATTTCAGCGGGCATCCATTTCGGCTTTGCTTTTTTGGCTCGGTTTTTTGCGTGCGCTGATTCGTCGGCTAGCGGCCCTCTCAATCTCATTGCTCCTTTCACAGCGGCTTCTTCTGGGCTGCCGCCCTCTCCTCTCATTATTGCAATTCGATTCCCATAGGCATAATCTCCCGGTGTGGGCCCCCGATTCCTCGCGCCTTTTATGCCCGCGGGCAGAGCGCGAGGGAGGGCTTTATTTTGGGCTGTTTCTCGATTTTTTTCGCTTTTCTCGATTCTTTTTCCGCGCTGGTTTTGACGGTTGCCAGTCATTACTTCGAAAATCATTACTTCGAAAATCATTACTTCGAAAGTCATTACTTCGAGAAGTCATTACTTCGAAAAGTCATTACTTCGAAAAGTCATTACTTCGAAACGTCATTACTTCGAAACGTCATTACTTCGAAAAACATGCATAGCACGTACGCTAATTGACACCTTTCTGCCTCTATTGGTCCTTTTATTCGATCGAGTTTTTTTACACGTCGCATGAAAAAAATCGGCAAATTTTTACTTTACCCCCAGATTTTTCGATGTTTTAGTTGGTTAGTACGAACATTTTCTGATGTCACTTCAGAGAGCATCACAACATACACGGACATTTTTAGGTAAACATCGTGATGCTTCAGTGATTGACTGCAAGGATCATTATAACAAAATAATAATTCGTAGAGATGGGGTAACTACTAACAATCCTAATACAGACCGAAACTCTACACAGTAATAGCCTTAATAGAATAGGCATATGGTACCTACGCAATGGTTTTAACGTCATTGTCATGAATTTCGTGATATGAACATTCCAAATTAGCATATTTTTCGAAGTAATGACGTTTCGAAGTAATGACGTTTCGAAGTAATGGCTTTTCGAAGAAATGACTTTTTCGAATTAATGACTTTCGAAGAAATGACTTTTCGAAGTAATGACTTTTCGAAGTAATGACTTTCGAAGTAATGACTTTCGAAGTAATGATTTTCGAAGTAATGACGTTCACCCGGTTTTGACGACTGATCGGCTTTCGCTTGCGGATGCGGTTCCAAAATGATCTCTGCTAGCCTGCGCCCTCCATTCCCAAATGATCTCTGCTAGTTCGCCGATCTTAATTTGGATTTCATTTTTTTATAAATTTCATTGCCCGAAAACTTCCGTTTTCTAGCGAATCTCTGCCATCTAGAATTTTTCACAAATTTAAAAACTATATACTCCGATTTTTTTTTTTCGCTGATTTGACATTTTTTTTAAAACTCCCTGTCTCTCACTCTCTCTGTGAATTCTAGGAACCCTGAATCCCCCCTATTTTGCTCACGTCTCCCCCCATCAGAAACGCATGCGTACCGCGCCGGATCCGGTGCATATTTTCTTGAGTAGGTCCCACTAGCCGATAGCCGTCCCCGTCCCCCTCCTTGACTATTCGGCGATCAAATTACTCACCCTCTTCTTCTACTTCTACTTTGGGAGCGCCGTCCGCTCCTCTACCCTGCCCTGTTGCCCTACCTTTGCCGGGCCGATCCCGCGCTCCCTGGCGATGGACGGAAAATTTCTCGCATTCATCTGCGCACCCCACATTAGCCAAATTTCTGCCTCCGCCCGCTGTTTATTTGCCGACCCGGAGGCGTCCAGGAAGAGCCCAAAAATCGTGAAAACAACTAGATGGGAGTTGAATTAGCTTCTTAGGATTACGAATTAGCAAATGAAGCATAGAAAAGCTTACAAAAAGCAACGGTACGGTTTTATACGATTTTTTTAAACAAAAATTCTCCCGAAAATTTTTATGGCTTTTTTCGATCGGCCACTTTTTTTTTGAGCACGACCTCAAGCTTGTCGTTGCGCTCGGGCTTCAAACTTTTTTACTAATTTTCAAAAAGCACGTAGAGAGTACCAGCTACAAACAACAACCCGGAAAACAGCAGAAAAACCAGTGTTGCTTCCTCCCTCGCCCACCTCGGATAAATGACTGCTAATGAGCTATCGCGCCCAGGGCTGCTAGTCATGTGCTATTATTTGTGTCTAGAAAAGAATGGTTTTTTGTAGTTTTAAGGGTCTAGTGGCTTTGATGAGTTTACAAAAACCATTTTTCGACGTTTTTTTGTATGGTTCAGAGTAGTTTTTCCAGCGATAAGAGCTTTTTTCGGTCGCGTTTTATTTCTTTCACTCGTCTCGAACATTTTTCAAGGCTTAAAAATCTCGATAAATTTGTATTTTTCCATTATCTTTTGGTTTCAATAGCTTTCAAAAGCCAAAAAAATTCAGTTTTTTTTTTCAAGGGCGCCGCTTTCTTCTTGTGAATTTTTGGTTTACTGTATTTAAAAAGCTAAAAATCTGGGACTTTTGGTAGCTCCGGTTTTGTCATGTAAATTTGGGCATTTTTGAATGTGTTTTTTTTCAATTTTTGCTCTTTTCTGGTCTATCCCAAGCAGCGATCAGATCTATGACATGCTGTCGGCCGCAAAAAATCGCTGATTGGCCCCCGGGCGCCACCGGGATAAAAGCAGCCGAAAACATGAGCAACTCGAATCGTCCACCACCAGCTGAAGAATCCTCGGACGAGGAGAGCCGAACGCCAATCCGCCGACGCCGTCACATCGACCTGACCCCGACGAACAGCAACCCGGTGACGGGGCTAATAAGGGGCGGCAGTGTCCGAGACCCCGCTCGTCTGAATCATTTATCACCCGGGCCCATAGTGCACGAGAGCAAGTCGGCCACCTTCAAGGTACATCATCTGTCTTTCGATAAAGGTGCTAGGAAGGCAGATTTATTTTGCTACGTTCTTACAGGCTCTTTGTGGGATTCGGTTCTGGTTCGTTAGCGGGGGGAGTATGTCCTAAATTTTTCAATATTTTACTAGTTTTTCGGGACTACGTCAATGCGACCGGATAGAGCAGCAAAAAACTTTGGCAAGAGTTTTAATTCTAGGTCAAACACTAATTTAAGAAAGTCATGACAAAAACAAAAATATCCCTGAAGATGGGGTTGGTATGCTAGCTTTCGCGTTTTTCGATAGTTTTCGGCATTCTGCTAACGCTATTGGATGGAGCAGCAAAAAAATATCCTAATAGTTTTTATACAGCTAAAAATGATGTAGTTTAAGATAACAGAAACTATATAAAGAGGTTCGCCCTGATAATCCCACCCCCGCTAACGAACCACAACCTGGGAATCCTCGGTCTCGATTTCAAAATCTTCTCGAGATTCTGCTTCCTGCCGACTTCCTGTCGCAGAGAGCGTAAAATTTTTGCCTTCCTGGCACCTTTAAAAGGATAACAAAGTTGCCGACAATTTTGCCACTTGACCACCCCTTCAAAACGACGCAACCTCAAGAAACCGCCACTTTTCAAGGAGGGCCTAATCGAGGGCCTCGATGGCACCATCCAAGAAGTGGCCCCCCTCCTGCGGACCGTCAGCCTGCGCGTCCGCCAGCAAGTCCAGTCGACGCTCAGCGATCCGCTAAAACGGAAAACGGACCGCATCGGCTCGGAGATCCGCGAGGGCAAGCGGAAAATGGACGCCCTGTCGGCAAAGCTGACCCTGCCGAAATTTATGAAGGACAGCAAGCGCAGTTTGGGTGAGGCGGTGGTGTTGTGATGGTCTTAAAATTGCGTTTAAAAATTGCCAAAAATGGATCGCATTAAAAACTCAAAAATACACTAAAATTAAGACAAATACCATAATTCTGGCGTGCGTATTTTTGTGTAAAATTGTTGCATAATTATTGAAAAAAATCGATAAAATGACGTTTCTAAAAATGCTCGAAAATTGGGTTAGGAAAAATCCACGATTCTGGCGTGTCTATTTTTACATGAAATTGGCGGAAAACCTATGTAAAATTATGAAATCGAAAAATTAAACAAATTTGTAATCAGCACAAATCCACAATTCTGGCGCGTGTGTCTAATTCTAATTTTATTTGCATTTATCGCCTCCTAAAATGCATAAATTTCTATAAAAATTAAACCAGAAATGCGAAAATCAACTTTAAAAAATCCACAATTCTGGCGTATTTTTAGGGGGACTAGACTACGTAGATCGCCTTAAACGGGCGGGGCTCGAATAACGTACTCGACGCTCTGGGGGCCGAAATTCTAACCCCAAATTCTACCCCAGTGTTTTCCCCAAAAAATTGATCCGTTTAGCGACGAACGACGACGCGCCCAGCTCCAGCGACGACGAGTCGATGGACGGCGAGGCGCTCGACCAGATCGAGCGCGAGAACATTGTCGACATGTACGAGAAGGTGGTTTTTCAGAAGATGATTTATTTGAATTTTCTCCGTTTAGATGGGGGTAACTAGCGGTGATTCTTTGGGAAATTCAAGCAGAATAGTGGATATTTTTAAAAATTTTAAAGACGTCGATCGTTTCGTTTTCGTTGATTAGGTAACAGCTAGCAGAGATTTTTTAGGAATTTGAATTTACTTGATAAGCTAGATTTCAAAACGTTGGGCTAGCTTTTTAGACCAAACTACCGTTTTTATGTTTTTTTTTTAGGGCCCCGACCACGTGAAAGACGAGGACGTGTTCGAGATTGCAAAACAGGGCGCAAAGCTGGATCGTCACGGGTTTATAATGTGGGTTTTTAAATAGAACTTAATCTCTGATTCTCTTCCTCTCTCTCTCTCTCTCTCTCTCTCTCTCTCTCTCTCTCTCTCTCTCTCTCTCTCTCTCTCTATCTCGCTCTCTCTCTCATTCTCCCTCGCCCGGTGATCCTATTTTTTTTTTGCAGAAAACGGATAGAAGACGACACCGGGCCCGACCCTGTCGAACAAGCGCAAATTGTCGCAGAGGTACAGTATTTTTGATGTTTTGTATAGATTTAGCATTTTGAAAAATTTCCCTAGAGATTTTGGGCTCCTTTTCAGGCCGAGCGAAAGCGGGAGGCTGTTATAGCGGTAGCTAATTTTTAAAAAGATTCTAAATGTCCTTCAATGTCCATTACATAGCCACCTTTCTTTCCGAAAAAAATTGCACCATTCTATACTGCGCTGAAAATCGCTTGATCTCTTCCGGCTTTTGTTTCTCTCTGCTATCCGTTTAGGCAACTTGCCATTTTCCAGCTACGCCGCGAGAAGAAGTGGCTGGCGATGCTGAAGCAGATGGACGAGCACAAGCCCGCCAAGAAGCTGCAGGAACGCGTGTGGAAGGGGGTGCCGTTGAAGCTCAAAATTAGGGTGAGCTTTTGTGGATTTTTGGCCTTTGGAATGTTTTTATACACGTTGAAAAATGAGCTTCTCGAGACTCACTTTTTCAAGAAAGTCATTTCTCGAAATTCATGTTTTCGAAAAGCGATATTTTCGGAAACTTGGCTGTTAAAAAGTCATGAATTAGCAATTAGTAACCGCTATAAACGAGGAAATAAAAATATAAATTTTGCAAAACCGTCTTTAAAGCGGTTTTCGAAAATAAAACTTTAGAGATATGGATTTGTCAGAAAAATCTGTTTTTCTTTTTTGCTCCTCTCTTTTTTCTTATTGATTCGTTCTATTGGAAAGTGCCTTCCCGGGGCCTTTAAAAAGCAATTGTAGCTATATCACTTGCGTCTCACTTGCTCTCTCCATCTCTCTCTTTCTCTCTCCCTCTCTCGCTCTCTCACTCTCGCTCTCTCGCCCTCAGAGTCCGATTTTTACTATATTTTCCAATTTTCCTTTTCCAGGTATGGCCCCGCCTCCTCAACATTGATCGGTTACGACGGGATTGCCGAGACATCCCCGATAAAGATGGGAAGGGTGTAGGTTTTATTTTTTTTTGGCTGAGGCTAATTCCTGCTTTAGATTTACGACCAACTGAAAGCGAGGGCAAAGCTCGTCTCGCGCGACGTCAAGCAAATCGACCTGGACATCAATCGGACGTTCCGTAACAACGAGATCTTCCGCGATCGATACTGTGTAAAGTAAGACTGTGGACTTTGTCGTAATTGCTCCATTGTTCTAGGCAAAAATCGCTTCTCAACGTGCTGGTCGCGTACTCGATGTACAACACGGAAGTGGGGTACTGTCAGGTTGGTATTTTAATAGAGCGTTTTATTTTTATACCCTTTTTTACGAATTAAAAAATTGGGGAAGCTAAAATTTAAAAAATAAATTTATTTTGATGGAATCATGATAGGCTATTTTTATATTTATCCAAATCAAGGAAAAATCTTTTTAATTCTGCTCTCTTAATGTCTTTTTACGACGTTGTAAAGTATGGTTTTTATGAAAAACCTATGCAAAAAAGACTTTGTAAGATGCGGGCGCGATTTATTGACATTTTTTGAGCTTCAGCGATCCTTTAAACGCCAAGTAACCCATTTATTTCCCTTTTTCAGGGCATGTCTCAAATCGCCGGCCTGTTCCTGATGTACCTCGACGAGGAGGAGGCGTTCTGGTGCATGCACGCACTGATGGTCTCCCAGAAGCACACGATGCACGGTGGGGGAATTTTTCAGTTGTTTTTACCCATTTTTTTTCTAGGCTTCTTCGTCCCCGGGTTCCCAAAGCTCGCCCGCTTCGAGCAGCACTACATCAAGCTCGTCAAAAAGTACAAGTCGAAGGTGTCGAAACATTTGGTGAGTTGGGCTTCTGTGCTTGCTCTCTCTCTCTCTCTCTCTCTCTCTCTCTCTCGCTCGCTCTCTCTCTCACTCTCACTCTCTTTCTCTCTCTCTATGTCTCTCTCTGTCTCTCCCGCACCTTAACTTCCAATTTTCAGGACAAACTCGACATCCCCTACATTTACATGACAAAATGGTGGTTCGGCTGCTTCTTGGATCGGGTACCGTACGCGCTGGCCCTCCGGATATGGGACGTCTTTCTATGGGAGGGCGACGCCGTGCTCCTCGCGATGGGCCTCAACATTATGAAGATGCACGAGAGTGAGTCTTTCGCTTTCTCTCGCTCACTCTCTCTCTCCCGCTCTCTCTCTCTCTCTAAATTTTGTTCTTTTCAGAACGAATCCTGAAATGCGGCTTCGAGCAGTTCATGGAACTGGTCCAAGACGGCCTCGCCACGAACTTTGGCTACTCGAATGATGTGGTCATGGAGTCGCTGCACGCGATCCTCGACAAATTGCGGGTGCGGAATTTCCGTTAAACTTTTGATTTTCATTTTTCTAGAGCGATAAGCTGGACCGACCTCCCCCGCCGGCAGAGGGCAGCCTACCTGAGGTGAGCAAGAGCGGGAGAGAGAGAGAGAGAGAGAGAGAGAGAGAGAGAGAGAGAGAGAGAGAGAGAGAGAGAGAGAGAGAGAGAGAGAGAGAGAGAGAGAGAGAGAGAGAGAGAGAGAGAGAGAGAGAGAGAGAGAGAGAGAGAGAGAGAGAGAGAGAGAGAGAGAGAGAGAGAGAGAGAGAGAGAGAGAGAGAGAGAGAGAGAGAGAGAGAGAGAGAGAGAGAGAGAGAGAGAGAGAGAGAGAGAGAGAGAGAGAGAGAGAGAGAGAGAGAGAGAGAGAGAGAGAGAGAGAGAGAGAGAGAGAGAGAGAGAGAGAGAGAGAGAGAGAGAGAGAGAGAGAGAGAGAGAGAGAGAGAGAGAGAGAGAGAGAGAGAGAGAGAGAGAGAGAGAGAGAGAGAGAGAAAGAGAGAGAGGAGCCAGAGGGGCAGAGAGGGAGAGGATCGGCCAGACAAAAAGAGAGAGCGAGAGAGAGAGAGCGAGGGCGAGAAAGAGCGAGAGAAATATTTATCTCTCTTTTTCAGGTCCCCACCAAAGCCTACGGTCCGATCCTCGCGAAGACGCTCGACCAGATCAAGTGCGAGGTGGCGGAGGTCAGAAGTCGGTCCAGCCGCGCGAATTGTGGGTTTTTAGGCTTTTCTGTAGTTTTTGTTACTAACAGCACGTTATTCTTGTCGTTTTCGTGTGTGTTTTTCCTGAAAGAGGCTTGGAAATAAAATTTTTCATTTTAAAAAGTTTTTTTTTGCTTTGAAATAGCTTTAAATTTTGGCTTTTGCGCCAAGATGTTCATTTTTCAAAGCTCTCTTAAAAATCGTCGAATTTTTGAGAATTTCCAAGCCGATTTCCCGCACGTAGCTTTTCCTTTTTTAGCGATGGTAGCGTCGCGGACGGCGTCCATGATCTCTCCCGAAGCTGCCGCCGAGCGGCAAAAGCTGAAGAAAATAAGTCTAGATCTCTAATTCTTACTTGTCGACCCGGCTTTATCACCCTAAACTGCACCTAATTTTGTCCTCTCCACGTCTCGGCCCTTTTTGTTGGGATTTTAAATAATTTTAATAAGCTAATCTTCGTTAATATAATTTAATGTATTCCCCGGTGTCTCCTCCCTTTTCATGGTAACGTCTGTCGTAATTTTAATATAATTTAAGGTTCCCCGGATGTGTCGTTTTTGTGTGACCCACGTCCATTTTCGTGCTGATTCCGGGTTTTTTGTGTGCCTCTTGTTTTGTGCGCTTCTCGCTGTGTGTGTGATCCCTCCGCGCTGCTGGCGCCCTCCCCAGCGCGTTGCCAATGTTGATTCTTGTCATAACGTGTGGACTTTTTGTCGTCGTTTTTATAGTTTTTTTTTTTGAATACGGTATCTGGTGTGCAGTGGCTTGATTGCAGGCACATTTGTGAAAATCATGATTTTGAAAGCCACTTTTTCGACCATCATTTTCGAAAAGCCATTTTGTCGACGTTTCAACGCCGTTTTCGCCGCGATTATTCATCTCAAACCTTACGCCGATTGAAATTTCGACAAACTTTTAGCAAATCCTGTTCACTGTTTTTTTTGTTGGGATACGTATCTGGTGTGCGCTGTAGAATTTGCGGTTGGCAGTCGTCTGATCGAAAAACACCTGATCGAAAATCGCCTGATCGAAAATCGTCTGATCGAAAAATCGCCTGATCGAAAATCGCCTGATCGAAAAATCGCCTGATCGAAACTCGTCTGATCGAAAATCTCCTGATCGAAAAATTGCCTGATCGAAAATCGTCTGATAGAAAATAACTCAAAGATTTTAGGGGGTTTCTAGGCTTCTAACATGTGTTAAAACTGCTTTTTGAGTTATTATCGACTAGACAATTTTCGATCAGGTGATTTTCGATCAGGCGATTTTTCGATCAGACGCTTTTCGATCAAGCGATTTTTCGATCAAGCGATTTTCGATCAGACGATTTTTCGATCAGGCGATTTTCGATCAGGCGATTTTCGATCAGGCGATTTTTCGATCAGGTGACTGGGAATCAGAATTTGGTGTTGTTTTACGATAATCACCATTTCGGGCTAAATTAGGAGAATTTCTGGCTCTGTATAATTCTGGGTCCCCGAAGCTCGTCTTCTTGCTATCGTCTTGCTGACATTTCTGTAGTCTGTAGTCGTAGTTTTAAGTTTTTTTTTTGGCGTTTTTGTTCCTTTCGAGGTTGTTCATCTACTAACCCGTCAATACTTACTTACTGCATCTTTAGATTTTTGAAGATTTTGAGATGTAACAAATTTAACTTGTCCTCTTTGCAGCCGTCGCCACCGGACGTACGCCCAGGCCGGCCAGACGGAATAATGGAGCTGCGCGCTTGCAGTCGGAATCGTCATTGCAGCGAGGTGAGCTTCAAAAGATTGAAAATTTTATATACTCGAAGCAATTTTGACATGAAATAAGAAGGAAATTCAAGAGGAACCTAAAACAAACTGGAGAAGAAGTTTTTGTAGATTCGCGACCTCCCGCCCCCGAATCTTTCAATGCCACTTTTTCGAATGGGGCGCCGCCAACCGAAGAAGTGCCTTTTAAGGTGAGTGAGCATCGTTAAAATGGACCGTTGAAAACTGCATTTTCAAGATTTTTTAAACGTTCAGGTTTTTGGAAATAGATTTTTTAGCATTTTTAGAAAAACAACGTTTTTTTACGGTTTTTAGGAAAAGCACGATTTTTACGGTTTTTAGGAAAAGCAACGATTTTTCCACGATTTTTAGATACCATCTCGCGGCTCCATGAAAGGCTCCCCCTACGAGCAGCAACAATTTCCGGAAGCCCCAAAACGAGGCCCCGTCCGACCGATGGGACTATCTGGAAAAGAACAAATGCGGGCGTACTCGTCTGGAAAAATGCCTCCAGCGTAAGTTCCTTGACCGTTTTTGACAACTTTTATTCATTTTTCTCTAGAATTCGTTCTAGAAATCTCAATTATTCTACAAAAACAATCGTCGTTTACGAATATCGCGAAACGACTCGTGAGATTGATTTGGGTCGGGCTCAATTTTGTGTAGAAAGTATTGAAATGCAGCTCTTTCTTTCTTGAGGGTTCTGGGTACTTTCTCTATATTTTCAGCGCAGTTTTCGGGGTGTTTTGTCAAAAAAAGAAAATTGAAATTTTGCAGTCAACCGCCCTCCTCCACGTCGTCATCGCTCCGGATGCGACCTGGGAATAACGACTCGCTCAAGTGAGTTTTGGAAACTTTTAAGTTCGTTTCAATCACAGATAATTCGAGGCAAACTACTACTCTATATGAGTTACTTTCATATATATAGAAAATGTTTTCAGATCCACCGACACGAGCTCGCGCAAGAGTACGTACGACAACGTACACACCGACAGACAGCCCTCCTCGCCGCAGCGGACGATCACCGTCCGCGATGATAGGTCCGGAAAACTGGTACGTCTAGGCGCTTAGCCCTAGTCGATCAAGGGGATCAAGGGGGTTCTAGCACTTCATGGTTCCTTTAAAATACCGAATTCAGGTCTACATCTCGCGAGGGGGTGATGATGATTCACCGCCGGGACAGATGGACGATATGTAGGTTTTATAGGCTCTTAAAAAATATACAGAATTGGAAAATTTGAATATACCAATTTCAGGGGGCTAATAAGCACCGAGTTATAAGGAGGGTAAGGTTATCCATTACATTTTTAGCGCAAGTTAGTAGGCTTGGAAAATTTGCACAAAAAAACTCGGATTTATGCAAATATTCATTTTGTTTTCCTGAAATTTCAAAGCATTTTCAAGGGGGTTTGCTTTGCATGGCGCTTTATAAACTCAAAACACGTTTATTTTGATTTTTCAGATTAAACTACGGCCCTGAACCGCCTTCTGTAACCCACCTGGCCAACCACGTCACCTACGTCAAAATCGGGGAAGACGGCGAGGCGAACGAGTGGACGACAAAAATGTGAATATACCGTGGCCACCGGGTATTACTGTAGTTTCTAGTTTGTCAGGATTTTTGGATGTTAAAGAGTAAAATAGCTTAAAGTTAAAATTATTGCAGCGATTTTTGGAGGTTTCTGAAATGGAAAAATCTGGTTGTTAAACTATCGTAGCATCTCTTCAAAACGCTAAAATGTGAAATTTCGAGATCTTCGAATTTTAAAAGTAACTCCATGCTTTCGAAAATACAAAATTGGTCAGAAATTTAATAAAATCATTTTATAGAAAATTTGAACTTTTCCAGGTCCCTTTAAAATCCAAAAATATTTACTTTTTAAAATACCGTAACCCTCCTCCTGCTCACTGTAATCACCAAGAATTGCAATTTCGCTTTTTTCTCTCGTTGTGCTCGCCCCGATGCTAATTACATTATTTGTGTTGCTGAGAAATTCCCGTGGCTTTCACTGCAAAAATTTCACTCTCCATGTCAGTGCTAAATGTTTTGTTTTTGTTTGTTATTTTTCAATTTTAGAAATTTTTTAATCATTCGACATAAAAACTGCTGGTAAATTTTTTAAAGCTATTTTAAAGGGCCAGTGACGGCAAACTCTATAGGAAATACGTAAAATTGGGAAACCCCGAGAAATATATCAGATTTTTACCTTCAATGGTTCTTTAAAACCAGTCACCTCCATAATTCCGTAATATTTACTGCCCATTTCACTTCCCCAACCTAAAAAATTTCCCTAAGAAACCCTGCTGGTTCACCCCCGCCCATTCCAAAGAAATTTGCATAAGTCGCATCTGAAATTGGCTCACGATTCTGATTGTTTTTTGTTGTTAGTGCAATGATAATACTACCATAACATGTAATTCCGCTACTTGCATAATTTTGTGTATTTTTTATAGTGGATGATGGAGAGTAAAGAATTATTAGATGGACTATATAAAATTGCACGAGGAAAACACATAAAAAAGGCAAAAAACTATCTCAAATCATCTCTGCTAGCCTGCCCCTTCCATTCCCAAATGATCTCTGCTAGCCTGCCCCTTCCATTCCCAAATGATCTCTGCTAGCCTGCCCCTTCCATTCCCAAATGATCTCTGCTAGCCTGCCCCTTCCATTCCCAAATGATCTCTGCTAGCCTGCCCCTTCCATTCCCAAATGATCTCTGTTAGCCTGCCCCTTCCATTCCCAAATGATCTCTGCTAGCCTGCCCCTTCCATTCCCAAATGATCTCTGCTAGCCTACCCCTTCCATTCCCAAATGATCTCTGCTAGCCTGCCCCTTCCATTCCCAAATGATCTCTGCTAGCCTGCCCCTTCCATTCCCAAATGATCTCTGCTAGCCTGCCCCTTCCATTCCCAAATGATCTCTGCTAGCCTGCCCCTTCCATTCCCAAATGATCTCTGCTAGCTCACCCCTTCTATTTCAAGCGCCAGACACGTTTTTAGTCCTTCTACGTCGCAAATTGGAATTATATTCCCAGTGGGACCCCACAATTTTTCCGCCTGATTGCCCACACCGATTTTTTGCGCGGAATTTTTGGTTTGTGCCTGCTCTGAATTAAGCTTTCGCAACCCCCAATTGTATCGGCGCAGCTGAAATCGTGTTTCGCTTCACTGTATTTCCTCTCTCTCTCTCTCTCTCTCTCTCTCTCTCTCGCTCTCTCTCTCGCTCTCCTCTCTGGCTCAAGAAGCGTGCTGTCTCGCCTGCATCAAAAGCAGAACAGGCATGAAAGGCACAAATTAGAAAACTGACCAACGAAAGAGGGAGAGAGAGGGATTGACAGAGAAAGCGAGAGAGAGAGAGCTGGCTACTTTTGTGACTGGCAGTGTGCAAATAGAACGACTGGTCGGTTACCTGGGTTTCCGCTACGGGAAGGGCCGAACTGTGGTCAAGTGTTTTTGGGGTGAACAACAAGTGGAATGAATGCAACAAACTGCTAGCAAAACCCTATGAAAATCGACAAAAAATTTCCGGAATACTTTTAAAGGAACTAGGGGGAGAATCGACCCCATTTCGGCGACCAGACGACTAGAAAGCTCTGCAGAATGACTCAAAAAATTTTCGCAGGCTGAATTCGAAAACTTTAGTAGATGATCAAACAATTTCGATATGTGTTTTTACGTGTCGCGTAGCTGTCGAGGCCTAGTCGCTGGAAGGGGTCGATTTTAGCGCTTTTTCGGATTTTACATTCGTTGAATTTCGATTTTAGGTGAATTTGGTGATGCTTTTTGAATCAATTTATTCATCCAAGAAACACATTTGCCATCAGAAGTCGTCCACCACCTCCATATGCGTAATTTGGTCTTCCGCGGAAGATTCCGACATGCTCCGGGTAGCCGGGATGGTACTCTGGGCTCCCTGCGGCTCCAATATTTGCCAGAAGAATTCGGCAAGTGATGTGACTAAAAAAGAGCCTTGAAATATACGCCGAAAACGGCGGAAATTATAAGCTCAAACCACGATTTTTGGCATTTATTTTCAAAAATTGTATTTAACGATGCGTCTAGACGTATTAGGAGCCAGTTAACAAATTTCTCACCTCAAAAACAGAGCAGCAAATAGAATTCTGAATACCCAGCCCATTTTCGTATCTTTCCTTTGATGTTTTTTGCTCTCCTCCCACCTCGAGTCGGCAATTTCTGACCCATCCCTGGCCTTGAAACTTGAAATGCGAACGGCTATAGGCACTTTGCGGAACGCAAAAGAAGTGAAGGCTAGGCACCTGCTTTTTTCGATTTGCATCGCTGACCTGGGTGCGGCTACTCCGATTTTCCAAAGTTGTTTACGCCAACTGGAATGGAAGGGGCAGGCTAGCAGAGATCATTTGGGAATGGAAGGGGCAGGCTAGCAGAGATCATTTGGGAATGGAAGGGGCAGGCTAGCAGAGATCATTTGGGAATGGAAGGGGCAGGCTAGCAGAGATCATTTGGGAATGGAAGGGGCAGGCTAGCAGAGATCATTTGGGAATGGAAGGGGCAGGCTAGCAGAGATCATTTAGGAATGGAAGGGGCAGGCTAGCAGAGATCATTTGGGAATGGAAGGGGCAGGCTAGCAGAGATCATTTGGGAATGGAAGGGACAGGCTAGCAGAGATCATTTGGGAATGGAAGGGGCAGGCTAGCAGAGATCATTTGGGAATGGAAGGGGCAGGCTAGCAGAGATCATTTGGGAATGGAAGGGACAGGCTAGCAGAGATCATTTGGGAATGGAAGGGACAGGCTAGCAGAGATCATTTGGGAATGGAAGGGGCAGGCTAGCAGAGATCATTTGGGAATGGAAGGGGCAGGCTAGCAGAGATCATTTGGGAATGGAAGGGACAGGCTAGCAGAGATCATTTGGGAATGGAAGGGGCAGGCTAGCAGAGATCATTTGGGAATGGAAGGGGCAGGCTAGCAGAGATCATTTGGGAATGGAAGGGGCAGGCTAGCAGAGATCATTTGGGAATGGAAGGGGCAGGCTAGCAGAGATCATTTGGGAATGGAAGGGGCAGGCTAGCAGAGATCATTTGGGAATGGAAGGGGCAGGCTAGCAGAGATCATTTGGGAATGGAAGGGGCAGGCTAGCAGAGATCATTTGGGAATGGAAGGGGCAGGCTAGCAGAGATCTTCGAAGAATTTTTGAGTTTGGCGAATTTTCCCGTCAAGTGTGTTTGCTTGAAATTGCCACTCAACATTTATCCATCACATATTTTACGTAACAATTGCTATTATGTCATCAGTAAAGCTTGGTTTTTTGTGTTGATCATTCCGTTTTGAGATCACAATTTGGTGTCGTAATCGATTAGTACTTGCTCTCCGGGCGCTTCTCGATCCAGGCCTTGATCTCGGGAATCTCCTGCACCTTCTTGAAGCTGGCCGTCACCTGAAATGCCGAAAATAATAGTTACAAATTCCAAACAAAAAGCCTTACATTAAAAAAGAACAAAAATCAAAAAATTTCAAAGGAATTGAAGTTGATAATTTATATGAATTTAACTAATTACCTCCGGGTACTTGTCGAGGTAGTCGGGGACGAACTGCAGGAACGTCTCGATGTGGCACGACAAGGTGACGTCCAGCCACGACACCTTCGAGCCGACCTGGAAGCGCGAAATTTATTACGGTCGCTCAATAGCTTTCGCTCTTTCTCTCTCTCTCGCTCTCTCTCTCTCTCTCTCTCTCATTCTCTAACCCACCAAGAATCCAGATCCATTAGCCTTGAGCTGCTTGACGATGAGCGGGAAGATCTTGTCGCGAGCCGGCTCGACGACCTCCTTGTACAGCTTATCCTTGTCCCCCTCCCCGTAGCCGGCCACGACGATGAAGTACGGGCGTAGCTCCGTGTTGAAGTCGTTCAGCTGGTCGACCCAGGCGTCGATCTGGGCGGACTCCCAGTCGTCCTTGCCGGCGAAGCCTGAAAATGAGATAGTTCTAGGTGTCCATGTGCCTTTAAAAACCCATAAACGATGTCTGCCAGTCTGACCCTTCCATTCCCAAATGATCTCTGCTAGCCTGCCCCTTCCATTCCCAAATGATCTCTGCTAGCCTGCCCCTTCCATTCCCAAATGATCTCTGCTAGCCTGCCCCTTCCATTCCCAAATGATCTCTGCTAGCCTGCCCCTTCCATTCCCAAATGATCTCTGCTAGCCTGCCCCTTCCATTCCCAAATGATCTCTGCTAGCCTGCCCCTTCCATTCCCAAATGATCTCTGCTAGCCTGCCCCTTCCATTCCCAAATGATCTCTGCTAGCCTGCCCCTTCCATTCCCAAATGATCTCTGCTAGCCTGCCCCTTCCATTCCCAAATGATCTCTGCTAGCCTGCCCCTTCCATTCCCAAATGATCTCTGCTAGCCTGCCCCTTCCATTCCCAAATGATCTCTGCTAGCCCGCGCCCATACTTACCGAACTTCTTGGCCAGGTAGCGGTTGATGGCCTTGGATTGGGCCAACAGCTTGCCGTCCACCTCCAGATACGGCATCTGGCCGAATGGGGCCTCTGAAATGGCCAGGTTCATCTCTCTCTCGCTCTCTCTCTCTCGCACTCTCTCTCTCTCTCTCTCTCTTTTCACTTACTCGGTTTCAGATCAGCCCACTGCTCCCTGGGCACGCGGTTGTCCTCAAACTCCTGGTTGGCCAGGGCGAACAGCTTGCGGGTGGTCTCGGCCAGCCCGCGGATGTCAAAGTAGGAGAGCTTGTAGACGGGCATTTTGGCGAAGTTTGACGGTTACTGTAATTGGCGAAATGAAGAGAGAGAGCAAGCAAGAGAGAGCGAAAGTTAGAGTGGGAGAGAGTGAGAGAGAGAGCGAGAGCGGTGGCAAGTGAAATAGAAATGGAATGACAGAAACGCAGCTTCTTCTACTTTATATAGAAAGAGATGATGACTCAGAAATCGTAATATAACTCCGCCCCTTTTTGTTGGTTTGGACAATCTCCCCCTTCCCTATCGACCTCATCAGTATTCCGGACCGGAAAACGGACAAAATGGGGGCAAAAAATTGGAAAAAATGGGCGCCCCGGAATGTTTTTATTTGCAGCGACGGTCCCGTGGTTGTGAAAAAAAGAAGAAAAATGGTCGTCGATGACTAATCTGACGGACAGGGACGATACACGATAGACAAAACATAGCCCGTCCACTGGAGTGTAATGGACTCCAGAAATAGCAAAAGCTCAGGAATTGTTAAAGGGGCTGACAATGCGAAAATTGTGCCGAATACCGGGAGGTTAGGTAATCAGAAATTCCGCCAAGAATTGCTGCTAGCTTGCCTAGATTGCTAGCTTTAAAGTGGAAGCCTTTTCAGCGATTTGGATGTATTTTAAGGAAGAGAGACCCGGTTTCTGGATGACAGATTCTTCAAAAATACATTCGCGTGCCTGACGGGTCGTCAGATCCGCAAATAACCTCTGCTAGCCTGCCTTGTATAACTGAGCCAAAAGCTACACTTTTAAATGGGCTGGGAAGCCAAGAATTGTCACCGGATTTGTATATGATAGCAATAAAAAACCCGTAAAGATATCTGCTATTTTGCCTGGTAAAAGCAAGCCGGCTTTGCTAGCCTGCCTGCTTTTCTTCCGATTCAAACAGTTTAAAAGCCCTTACAAAACAAATGCTAATTAATTCTATACACGAAAGTTTAGAAAATTTTTAAGCTCGCGAAAAGCTTTTCTTAACGTATAATCTAAATAGGGTCAGGCACCTATCCGGAATTCTTTTTAGCCATTTTAAAATGTTACAGAACTTTGGAATCTCAAAGAACGTTCCGGTAACCCCGGAAACCCCTGAAAAATCGGAAATCCCGGCCCATTCTTGCCCGAGAAGCAGCCCTTGCAGGATGGACGAAGAGCGCCGGGCGGCCCTTTATGAAAGGGCCCAGAAGCCCTCCCCTCGCCTAGGCCACGCCCCCTTTCTAGTCTGTAGTTTGTGGCCTTTGTAGTGCCTAGTAGACCATCATCCACACACATACCTGCCGAGGGCATAAACCCCAAAATCTGGGCCCACCGAGGATGGAAAAAAATCGGCTGGGAACAGGTATGGAATGAAGCGATTTTTGGCTGTGGTTTCCATGGCAAATCGGCGCTTTTTGGGGAGAGAGAGAGAGAGAGAGCGAGCGAGCGAGAGAGAGAGAGAGTGAGAGAGAGACAGACGATATTACTCTGCCGACAGGTTTCCCCAAAAATAATTGGAGCCCCCCGGGGCTTTGAAGGGGATTTTTGGCGGATGTTTGGATGGCCAGAAAAGCTGCTAAAATCCTGCTAAAAGTAGCCCTATACGAAAGACTCTTCCCTCGTTCCCTCTCACTTTCGCTCTCTCTCACTCTCTCTCTCTCTCTCTCTCTCCCCCTCTCCCTCCCCCCCCCCCTCTCTCTCTCTCTCTCTCTCTCTCTCTCTCTCTCCGTCTCTGTCTCTCTTGATTTTTTTATCAAACTTCTGACGTGAACGATTGATACTTTATTCACAACCAAATACGAATTATTCAAAAAAAATTAAAATAAATTAATAAAGATAATCCATTAACAATGAAAAAATTCATTAATAGTTCAACCCCTGCTTATCGTTACTTTCTTTGATTTCGGGGATTTCATGAATCTTCTTGACGTAGGCGGTGATCTGAAATGCTTTCTGTTAATTTTCGTAAATTTTTTATTTTTCGGCGATTTTGGAAAAAATGTCAGACTCCTACCTCCGGGTACTTCTCCAAAAAGTTTGGCGCCGAGGTGAGCGTCTTCTCGAGGGTGGTCAGAAACGCCAGATCTACCCAAGAGACTTTAGAGCCGACCTGAAAATGGTTCTCTCTCTCTCACTCGCTCGCTCTCTCTCGCTCTCTCTTTCTCTCTTTCTCTTTCTCTTTCTCGCTCTCTCTCTCAAATATTCGAAAATTCTCTCCCTCACCAAAAATCCAGATCCATTCGCTTTGAGCTGCTTGACGATGAGGGGCAGATGCTGATCACGAGCCGGCTCGGCCACCTCCTTGTACAGCTTCTCTTTGTCCCCCTCGGTATATCCGCCAGCTACCGCCGACCACGGCCTCATGGCGGTCCCGTAATCTTGGAGCTGATCGGCCCACTGGTCGATTTGAGCGGACTCCCAGTCGTCGGCTCCGGCGAAGCCTGAAACAGCGAAAATTTTTGGTGTCACAGCCCTTTTAAACGGTCCTAAACGATGTCTGCTAGCTTGCCCCTTCCATTCCCAAATGATCTCTGCTAGCCTGTCCGTTCCATTCCCAAATGATCTCTGCTAGCCTGCCCCTTCCATTCCCAAATGATCTCTGCTAACCTGCCCCTTCCATTCCCAAATGATCTCTGCTAGCCTGCCCCTTCCATTCCCAAATGATCTCTGCTAGCCTGTCCCTTCCATTCCCAAATGATCTCTGCTAGCTTGCGCCTTCCATTCCCAAATGATCTCTGCTAGTTTACGCTTACTTACCGAACTGCTTGCCCAGGTAGCGGTAGATGGCCTTCGATTGGGCGAGCTCCTTCCCGTCGACTTCGAGAATTGGAAGCTTTCCGAATGGAGTGGCTAAAAAGAGTGTTTTTTTAGCAGCAGCGAGAGTGAGAGAGAGGGAGAGAGAGCGAGAGGGGAGAGAGAGAAAGCCCGGAGAGGAACCTACTCGGCTTCAACTCGAGCCAATTTTCCTTCTTGATCCGGTTGTCCTCAAACTCGACGTGGGCGAGGGCGAAGAGCTGCCTGGCCGGCTCGCCGAGGCCTCGGATGTCGAAGTAGGTCAGCTTGTATTGAGGCATTGCAGGAAGTGTTTCTGAAAATTTGCATGTAGCGCATTAACGGAGGAAAAAATCGCCAGTTTAAAAAAGGGAGAATAACATTTTATAACTTAAAATCTTCAAGTGGAGATTTTCAGCCAAAACAAATTCGAAAAATTTGAAATCAATTTTTTGAGTTTTCTGGTTCTCACAAGCATTGTCGAAAAGTCTTTTCGGAGAACGTTTTCCATGAGAACGAGGGAGAAGAGACAGAGAGAAGAGAGAGAGGGAGAGAGAGTGAGAGAGACACAGAAAATGGGAAAACGAGAAGAGAGAGAGAAAGGGATTGAGCGACAGAGAGACAGAGAGAGCGAGAGAAAAAGACGGCTGAATTCTACCCGAAAATGCATCAAAATATCGCCTCTTTCCGGCAATTCCGGCACCAGAGAGCATTTGTTTGTTGAGGCGCCGAGGCAGTCCGGCGTGTATACGTTGGGGCTTCTTTTTATAGGCCGGCAAAGGGACGAGCAGAGAGCACAAAAATGCGAGGCATTGGCCGACTAACCGAATAGAACATTGCGAAATTCGCGGACAATTACGCGCCAAAGTTCGGCGAAACAACGTGTCAAACGTGTAAAAAATTCGGGTTCTCGACTGTAAAAATAGCTTTTGTTGGTAGTGATGTTTTGCGGGGGCATTTTAGGATCGATTGGGAACCTAAAAAGCCATAGATTTTTGTTTCGCGGTTCCTTCAAAACGCAGAGAAAGCGAAATTACCAAGCATCTCCGATTTTCGACGATAACTTAAATTTAATGTCGTAAATCAGTCATTTTGATAGATTTGTTATTAATAACGTTTTTTTTGTGTTTTTTAATGGTTCTGAAATTAAATTAATGGGTTCAAAAACCTCAAAATCGACCCCTTCCATCGGCTAGGCCTCGACAAATACGCGACGCTTCAAAAAACCCGTGCGAGAAGAGGTGAATTTGTGCCTATCGTGAGTTCTCTAGCGATAACCAAGATGCGTTGATGCGTATTTCGACGCGTTGCGTGGCTGTCTAGACCTAGTCGATAAAAAAGATCGATTGCCGCGCTTCCTAGTCCCTTTAAATGTGTTACTTTTTTGTTTTGGTCGACGACCTTTCGTAGCTAGATTGTCCTTCGATACATATTTATTCATAGCAAGGTACATGAATTACATAGGAACGAAAAGACCAGAGGGAACCATAGAGATCATAGCAAAAATTTTGTAAGCTTAGAAGGGGTTCTCGGGGCGGGTCTCGATCCACTTCTTCAGCTCGGGGATCTCGTGCACCTTCTTCACGTAGGCGGCCACTTCCGGGTACTTCTCCAAGTAATTAGGGACGAACGAGAGGAACGTCTCGAAGTGGGAGGCCAGGGAGACGTCCACCCAGGAGACCTTCGAGCCGACCTAGAACGGAATTAGTTGCGAATGATGGGCTTTTTATAGCTCTCTCTTCCTCTTGCTCTCTCTCTCTCTCTCTCTCTCTCTCTCTCTCTCTCACCTACCAAGAATCCAGATCCATTCGCCTTGAGCTGCTTGACGATGAGGGGCAGATGTTGATCACGAGCCGGCTCGGCCACCTCCTTGTACAGCTTGTCCTTGTCCCCCTCGGCGAACCCGGCCAAGACGATGAAGTACGGGCGGAGAGCCGTGGCGTAGTCTTGGAACTGGTCGGCCCACGAGTCGATCTGGGCGGATTCCCAGTCGTTGGCGCCGGCGAATCCTGAAAAATTTGGGTGGTTTAGGTGTCGCTGTCCCTTTAAACGCTTCCCAAACGATCTTTGCTCGCCTGCCCCTTCCTTTCCCAAATGATCTCTGCTATCCAAAAACCTACCAAAAGTCTTGCCCAAGTAGCGGTAGATGGCCTTGGATTGGGCGAGCTGCTTGCCGTCGACCTCCAAGATTGGCATCTGACCGAAGGGGGTCTCTGAAATGGGATTAGATTAATTTGATAGTGGAAGCGAGATAGCGGGAGAGAGGGAGACAGAGAGACAGAGAAAGACAGAGCGAGGGAGAGCAGAGAGAGAGAAGAGCTGAACAACTTACTTGGCTTCAGCTCAGGCCAGTTCTCACGCTGAACGCGGTTGTCCTCGAACTCGACCTTGGCCAGGGCGAAGAGCTGGCGGGCGGTCTCTCCTGAAATGTTTGTTTGGTTTAATGTTAAAACGTTAAAATATTTGATGCTGGATACTGCTGCCAGAAGATCTAGAAAAACTCGAAATCTCGGGAAAACCCCTTACCAAGTCCGCGCAGGTCGAAGTAGGTGAGCTTGTAATGGGGCATGGTTGGGGAAGAGGTTGATACTGAAAAAAAGATCTTAAATAGCTTAGATCGATAGTATGAGAGAGAGAGAGAGAGAGAGAGAGAGAGAGAGAGAGAGATAGACGGAGAGCGTGAGAGAGTGTGAGAGAGAACGAAAACACGGTGTGTAGCGCGGAATGAAAATTCTGAAAGCTATCTGACATGGCATTTTCGCTCCAGATGGTACAAGCTGCACGTCAGTTAATTTCTTAAAATCGAGCATTAACGAGAGGCGATAAACAGGTGGCTATTTTGCGCGGTCAGCTCTGGTCCAGCAAAACTAATTTCCTGCAAAAACGCATGAAAAGCAGTCAGATTTTGTAATTTTTAAGGAGCTATGAAGTATCGGGAGTCGATACCCTAAATTCTAGGTCTAGACTGTTTGGCCACGCGCAATTAGAGACGTTAGGCTGATTTTTTCCGCGTAAGCAAGTCCCAATAAACGTCATTAGGAGTTTCTCGTCTGGGGTCGATTCGAGAGTCGCATAGTTCCTTTAAAAAGCCTAGAATTAAAGTTTTAGATACCAAATCGATTTCAGATAGTTTTTGGCCTCAAAAACAAAGTTTCAATCTAGGAAAACCGCCGTGGCGGGCCGTGTTTACCCGGTCAACATGCCAGTTGGGGCAGCCCAGGGCTTATATTGGCAATGGGGGCAGAAACCACAAGCTCCGCCTCCTCGCGCTAGTCTCTCTCTCACTCTCACTCTCTCTCACTCTCACTCTCTCTTTTCCCTTACTAGCCGATGTGCCTTGTAGTCCTTCTAGTCCCTGTAGTTTCTGTAGTTTGTAGTCCCGTCGCCTGGCTGCTCAACGGAACAGTCCTACTCCGAAAATTGCCCCCCTCAACTGGAAGGGCCAAAAAATTCGCCCCTTGAGTGCGGCGTCGCCCGGGTAACTACTTTTACCGGTTATGGGGGTTTTGACCGAAATTTCGGGAATTTTGAGGAGTGTTTATTGATTAAGGTGGAATTCGAAATATTGTAACAAGTCGAAAAATCTAAAGACCAAGGATGTATATTTCTTTAAATTTATTTATTGGATTTAAATTTATCGAATAAATTTCATTGGTTACCCGTTTTAAACACTCTAACCATTCAAAAAATAAGTTTTCATCAATTAATTTCAAACTTAAAAATATTGTAAAAAAAATTAAAAAATACAGATTGCATTATTATTGAAATCATTGAAGAAACCAAAAAAATTCAAAATTCAAAAATTTGAAATTGATAAATTTTTCGAAAATTAAACAAATCCAAAATTAATGATCGAATTACAGTTAGCAAATTTTTCCAAATTTTTAGTTTTACACTCGAGATTTCAAATAGCCATTTTTAATTTTTTGCCTATTTAATTTGTAAATAGTTTGTAAACCCAATCAGCTCCGATATTTGAACGTGAAAACTGATAAAATACTGTATTTAAAGGCATCACTGGAATGTTTGAATGCTTGGTGTCTTTAAAGGGCTATTTCAATTTTTAGAGTTTGGGCTGGTACCTTGGGAAACTATGGACGTAGGCACAGTGCGCCTGAACAGTCCCCCATTACGACAGCTATTAGAGATCGGGGAAATGAGAGAGGCGCAGACACAAATACGCAGGGAGGGTTCGACTCCTGGCCGCGGGAACTCTTTTATTGGCTGAACTAGCCCTTTAAAGCGCACGTTCAGGGAGGGGCCGTGTACTCGTCCCAACGTGTACACCCTATGGACGTTGGGACCGCGCGCACGGCCTGCCCGTGCTGTGACAGACCATTCCCCCTCCTTTGTGGCGTGGTGCGCCCCTCGGCCCCCTCGCCAGGTTGTAGCTGTGGCTGACTGGTATCCATCCGCGCCACCCGAGCGGGGACCAGGGTTCGACCCCGGCCGCGGCAAAAATCTTGGCTTTTTTTCCAAAACAAACGTCCCTGAACGTGCTCTTTAAAAATTGAAACTGCAAAATAAATTTATTCATGGGTATTAAATGCATCGTTTTGGAATAAGTATCTTTAAACGGTACACACAATAAAGCAAAAGGAAAATGCAAAAAATACAAAAGCAGAAAAAAATTAGAGGTCCGTTTTCGGTCGACGCTCGATCCAGGCCGCGATTTCAGGGATGGCGTGGACACGCTTCAGGAATTCTTGAAGCTGAAAATGAAAACTTTACCTGCAGCTTTCTCTCCCTCTGTTTGTCGCTCTCTCTCTCTCTCTCTCACTCTCTCTTTCTCTCTTACTCTCTCTCTCCCTCTCCTTACCTCTGGATATTTCTCAATATAGTCCGGCTTCAAACTCGTGAAGGTCTCCAGATGCGTAGAGAGCAAGAGGTCCACCCAGGTGATGGTCTTTCCGACCTGAAAAAAAAAATGATATTTCGCGTTTTAAAGGGACGGGAAAGCCTAGATAAATTCCGAAGAGATCTCCGCTAGCTTGCTTTGAGGGAATAAAAAAGGCCTCACGTGGGCTTAGGCTTCGGCTTAGGTTTAGGCTTAGGCTGATGCTTAGGCTTACCAAAAACCCGGAGCCATTCTCCTTGAGCTGACGAACAAAGAGTGGGAAGAGCACGTCACGTTTGGCTTCTACAGTATCCCGGTATACGGCAGCCTCGTCCCCTTCTCCTCCGGCAAATTTAATATAGAACCAGGGGCGCAATTCCACAAGAAAATCGACATATTGATCGGCCCACGAGTCGATTTGGGCAGATTCCCAGTCGTCGGCCCCGGCGAAGCCTGAAAACGATTATCGGTGGTGCTGTGTCTTTAAAAAGCCTAAGATGATCTCTGCCAGCCTGCCCCTTCTATTCCCAAATGATCTCTGTAAGCCTGCCCCTTCCATTCCCAAATGATCTCTGCTAGCCTGCCCCTTCCATTCCCAAATGATCTCTGCTAGCCTGCCCCTTCCATTCCCAAATGATCTCTGCTGGCCTGCCCCTTCCATTCCCAAATGATCTCTGCTAGCCTGCCCCTTCCATTCCCAAATGATCTCTGCTAGCCTGCCCCTTCCATTCCCAAATGATCTCTGCTAGCCTGTCCCTTCCATTCCCAAATGATCTCTGCTAGCCTGCCCCTTCCATTCCCAAATGATCTCTGCTAGCCTGCCCCTTCCATTCCCAAATGATCTCTGCTAGCCTGCCCCTTCCATTCTGAAATGATCTCTGCTAGCTTGTCTGTTGGACCTACCGTATTTCTGGGCCACGTAGCGCATGATGGCCTTCGATTGGGGTAGCTTCTGCCCGTCGACCTCGAGCATTGGCAGTTGGCCGAATGGGGCGGCTGAATCGAGTTTCATATTTTTTTTTGCGGTCACTCTCCCTTGAATGCAGCTTGGACTTACTATGTTTCAGCTCGGGCCACACCTCCCTCTCAATACGACAATCCTCATACTCGACGTGGGCAAGCTCGAAGAGCTGGCGCACGATTTCGCCTAAAACGTAAATTTCCATTCCTCAAGGATCGCTGCAAGTTGCTGTTCAAGTCAGAATGACTGCGGGCTTGTCAGGTAAAGCCAAAATCGTTCGATTCCCCAGGGATAGAGAGAGAGAGAGACAGAGAGAGAGAGAGAGAGAGAGAGAGAGAGAGAGAGAGAGAGAGAGAGAGAGAGAGAGTGAGAGAGAGAGAAAGAATGAGAGAAAGTTCCTCGACTTACCAATGCCTCTCATCGGAAAGTACGTCAGCTTGTAGTGCACCATTTCACAGCCCGATTCAACTGCTATAAAAATTATCATAAGTATTTTTGAAATTCCATTGCCTTGTCTATACATAATTGCGATATTTAAAGTAGCTCTAGGTATATTTCGATATATAGATTGTGTAAAATATCAAGGTATAGCAGTATAAAATTGCAAATTTCCTGACGCTCTAGAAAAACAAATTTTCCGGAAATTGGGAGCTTCGGAAAAAGGTGTGAGAAGCCAGAGGAAGAGAGAGAGAAAGGGGGATAGAGAGAGAGCGAGAGAGAGAGAGAGCGAGCGAGAGACAGCGATAAAAAGAGAAAGGACAAAATAATACCCGAAAAAGCAGCATCGCCCCGGCAACCGGGTAAAATTTTGGGCGGTTGCGCCTGAATCACGAAGCCGCCATTTATATTTGTACCCAGCCCTGAGAATTTCCTGTTTCTATGTGCTCTCTCGCTCTGCTATAGTCTCTGTCTCACTGTCTCTCTGCTCTGTCTAGCTTTCCCGCACTTTCTCCTCGTTCCCACGTTTTTCCGGCGCTTCTTTGTGGGTTTCTGTGATTTGCGCGGGGCTGTGATTTGTAGTCAAGTGGAGTTTTGATGATCTAGGATATATGGAAAACTAAAAAAATCACTAAACTAGAAAAATACACTAAAAGTCGTGAGAATCGAGGGGCAGAGAGATAGCTAGAAGAAGACAGCGAGAGTGAGAGAGCGAGAGAGAGAGAGCGAGTGAGAGGAAGAGATGGAGCAAGGCATCGAGAGGGAAGGAGTGATGAGACAGGTCGAGAGAGAGAGAGAGAGAGAGCGAGAGAGGGAAGATTAGGAGCGAGTGATAGAGGTCGAGCGTAAGAGAGGGGGCGAGAGAATGTGAGAAACATGTTTTAGATCAATTTGTAGATTTGTGACGCGCGCGCAGGCGAAATTGTGCCACTTTGTGATGTGATGTCCAGTTTCGATTTGATCAATATTTTATTCACATAAGAGTTGTCGTTAGAATTCATGCATTAATGGGATGAGGTAATCCGACAAGATTGATGGTTTTCCATGTTCAAAAACAATTGGGCGCTGTGAGTGGATGCGGGACACCATCCCTTCTTTTGTAGCTTCGTGAAGAAGCGGCAAGGACTCGTCGGGTTCGTAGTTGAAACCGATTAGCATGGCAGCGTAATTCTGGAATGGGAGAATGAGAGAAAGACCTCCCTCTCTTTCTATCGCTCTCTCGCTCTCACTCTCTCTCGCTCTCACTCTCTCTCGCTCTCTCTCTTTCTCGCTCTCTCTATCGCTCTCTCCCTCTCTCGCTCTCTCTCTCTCTCTTTCTCTCTCTCTCTCTCTCGCTCTTTCTCTTTCTCTCGCTCTTTCTCTTTCTCTCGCTCATTCTTTCTCTCTCTCCCAACCCACCTCTTCCCGTGACGCATACATCGCAGTGTTTTTAAAATGATCTTTGTTAGCGATCCTGCGCAATGGTTCCATAAATAATTCATGGCTGTTCGTCTAAATCAAACATTAAAAGGCACCTTTTTTATCATGCCTGGCCCGCCTGTGCTTCCGGAATCGATAACCTTTTGAACTCAATGAAGAAAATACGTTTTGTCGATGTGCTATCCTTATCGACCTAAAGCGGAACCCATAGTCGGAATAAATTTTCGATACCTGACCGAGTAAGAACCTCACGACTCGCTCCGCGATCTCGACAACAACGGGCAAGTCCCGAGCGCTCGTTACACGAATTTCCAGCTGAACTAGACGCTGGTGTGGTAGCAACTAAATGTTTAGGCCGGTAACCGGGCATCGACGACTACCCGCCACGTCAATGTGCACCAAAGCGAAACGCCAAAATCCCGACAGCCATAACGTGATATTTCCGGGGGTCTACTAGGTTCCCCAGATTCTAAAACCGTTTATGGGCAAAACTGACGGGAAATATCACATTACCAGCCGCTGGACTTCGGGCACCCCCTGCGCTCCCTCCCCCCGCCGAAACGCGCGCCACCTGGCTCACTATGTCCAAAATCACCCCAACCTCCGTCCCCCTGGCATTTTACTAAGGAAAAACATTCAGAGTTAAATTTAATAATTTAAACTAAAACTTCTTCATAATTTTTTTATCAGTTTGGGGGTTTCTGACCGCGCTCTATCCGATTCGGAAGAGACCTCAGCTCTAGCTCCTTTCCCCTTCGAGTTGAATTTGGCTTCCGACAGGCACCACAGCAAAATTATTATAGTAGATGGCTGTCGGGATTATGATTGGAATTCCACGCCGACGCGTCCGAGAATCCTGCCTTCTTACCTGCGCCAGCAAAATGTCGCTCAAGTCGCGGGGCGTAATTCGGTCGGTGCTTAGCCGACATGTCACCTACAACATGATTCGATTTCGAGCTCGACATGTTTGATTAGAAGAGAGAGAGAGGGGAGATAGAGAGAGAGAGAGGGGGAGAGAGCGTGAGGGTGAGAGAGAGATGACAAGATTTTACCTTGTGCGCCACATACGACATGGCCAGTGTTATTTGATGCGTCCGTACCATTTTCGATACTGGCCCTGGGATACAATCTCATGAAAAGTGCTAACTGACGTACCCAAGAGCGTCAGATGATAGGGCGCCCGCAAAATTTGCAGCCATCTCTCCGGAATAGAATTGTGCTGAAAGACGGCCAAAATAGCGAAAGTTCTGGCGACTTTCGGGGTTGGGGCAAAATAAATTGGGTCTCCTACGGGCCCAGCCATACCATAAATCCAGAATATTCGATACATCGTGTAGTAGTGTGTCGTAACAGTTTCTCAAGCACCGGGTAAAAGCTTGGGGTAAGGATTTCGAATTGGTCCTTATTGTAGTTTTCCCAAGTCCTTCGGTCAGGAACGCTAAATAATTTTTCCAAACACCAATGCACCGTGTGTCTACTTGACATGCCAAAACGTCATCGTAATTTCGGTGTCGCTACCGGGCTGACAGTCAATTTTTATGATGTCATCGCGATCGACGATTTCCAGGCCAGGCTGTAAAGAGACACCGGGATACGGTTTACTTCATCCCAAAAATTTCGGCAATGCCGCTATTTTGGGTTTTTTTGCGGAACACCATTCGATACAGCCTCAAAAAATATGCTAGCGTCTTAAAGGGGCTAGGAAGCCAAAATTCGTGCGTGCGGGGGCTGAGCCGACTGGTCAAAAAAAGTACAGGGTTACCGCCGAAAATTATCAGTAAAGTGATTTCGTCGCGAAAAAATGCACAATATTTGCAAAAAATCGGAATCTTTTCGGGCCAAAACGATTTTTTGAGTGCGCGGCGATTACATGTCGTAATGCCATGTCGATCTCGGCGATTCTCGGGTCAATTTTCATGATTAAAAAACCAATAATAATTAAAATTCGACGAGGATTACAGAAATAGCATGATAATTTTGAAATTCAAACGTTTTCACGTCCAAACAGGGGCAAAAGATCATGCGGCGCGGGCGCGTTGCGGTCGCATCTGGCGCTTTGCCAGCAATCAACGCAAGGGGCCGTCGACCAGATTTCGGAGCCCCTTAAAGGGATCAGGAAGGCTCAGTAGATGACCGCTGATCGATAATTGGCAACAAACCAAGCGGAAATGCGAATGCAAAAAAATCGGCAGAGAATGGGGCGAGGCAGAGGAGATTTATGCTAATTGTAACGCTAAAGTAAGTTCGTGACCGTAATTCCTGCCGGGCCTTCCTGATCCCGTTAATGGCAACCCAAAATAATGTAATATAAATAAGTTACAGCAAAAGCAAGATTTAAACACGGGTTTCCTCATAGGAACACGGGGCGCATTGCGCTAGATTTCGAGAATTTTGCTATGTAACAAAATTTCTTTGCGCCATTCAATAGGGCGTCAAAAATTTACAATTTACTTAAACGTGCTTTTATGTGTCGAAAATGCCCTACAAAGCCAATCCGAGCCTCCTCCACACGGCGCGGCATCCATTTTGCCGCGGAAACGAGACGGGCGAGGTGCTGAAAATGGGAAATTTAATGCAGCAAAATGTCCCTCTACTTTTACTCAACTTGGAGTTTCGCTTTGGGATAATGGAGGGCAAGGCTACTTTCTAGCCCTTCCATCCGTAGTGCACATTTTTAAAAACGCTCACCTTGCCTGTCTTTCTGCAGGAGATCTTCTCGGTTAGCTGGAGACGTTCGACGACCGCTTTTTGGGCGAGTGCAGGGAGGGCGAAGAAACGGAAGCGCCTCATCCGAAACCCTTTCGGCCTGGTTGTCCGAGCAATGAATCGAAGGTTGCCGGAATGCTTGTCGACCTGACTGTGACCCCCACATGAGACGCTCTATCGATCTGCTTTTTTCAAAAAGATGCGCCAATCTAGGTGGCAAATTCAAACACTAATGAAAGAGAGGATCGGAAGTGTTGAGCGAGTGGAAAGCGCGATATAGCATCCATCAGAGCACCGTTTTCGGAGCTCAATGATGTGGTTACAGGGCGTCCCAAAAAACGACCCATCAGGCATTTCGCCGTGTTACATCCAACCGGCCCCAAATTTGGACCAGAGGTGTCGCAGACCTTAAATAACAACAATCCTAAGTCATAGCCCGGTCGCTACAGTAGTGGTCAAGTTATAACCAAAATACTGTTTTTCACGCAATTCTAAACAGTTTTTCGGCTATTTTTTTGGACATTGCATCGATTTGCATCGACTTCCGGCTGCGAATCCCTAATTTCGCTTAAGAACTTGGGTAATTTTGCGTTGTAAAAATCGCTTAAATCAAAGCTTATTCAATTAATTTTACTCTGGAAAAAATTTCTTAAGGTAAAGGAGGCCTACCTGATCATTTCACTTAATGTTTAGGGGTCTAACTTCGAATTAACCCTATGAAAATGGAAATTAAAGTTCATTTTTGTTATAACTTTAAAACTATTGTAGCAATGGAGCTAAGTCAGCATGGCAGTTATTTAGAATATGTAGATACACCTCTGGTCCAAATTTGGGGCCGATTGGATGCAACACTGCGAAATGCCAGATGTATACAGTAGTTTTTTTAGTTTACTACCCACATATGGGCCGTTGTTTTGGCACACCCGGTATACATAGGGCTATGGTGGTATGCAATTAGTGACATGTTAGCAAGCAATGACAATTTATCCGTTTATAAACCGAAAAACGATTTGGCGCATGTACGACAGCGAGTCTGCCATCTCCTCCCTGCGTGCTTCCTTGAGAAGCGCTGAAGCCTCCGCCGGCCCATAGTTGAAGCCGACCAGCAGGGCAACGTACTTCTGAAAGATCGGTCAGCGCTTTAAAACGTTTCTCCAAGAGAAGGTCGCCCCCCCCACCACCCCGCCCCAAAAAAAAAAGCAGCAGCCAATGCGTTAAGCCCTAAAGTATGGCCCCTGTGAATATCAAACCGTTCAGGCGCGTGATATTTTAGTAAAGCTAAGACGACGGGCACGGTCGCCCTTCTATCATGCTTTTGGAAAAGTTCTTTCATTGAAGTTTTTATATCAATCGGGCCGTCCGTTTCCCTCTCTCTCTCTTTCTCTATCTCTTTCTCTCTCTCTCCCTCTCTCTCTCTCTCTCGCTCTCTCTCACTCTCTCTCCCTCTCTTTCTCTCTCTCTCCTGTCTCTCTCGTCCACTCCCTCTCTCTGTCTGTCTCTCTCTCTCTCTCTCTCTCTCTCTCTCTCTCTCTCCCTACACACATCCAAGGCGTATGCAGTAAGCGAAGCGAAACATACTTTTTTCTGAGCCACGAACATCATTGTGTCTTTGACAGAATCCCTCTTCACCATCCTCCGAAACGGGTCCGAGAACAGTTCGTATCTGTAGGTCTAAACCAACTTTTGAAACAAAAACAAAATTTCAAAATGACGCGCCTCAACGCGATCGCCTGACCTGAGCCGCCTGTTCCCGCGTGAGGACTGCCCGTGATCCAGAGAACTCGATGCAGAAAATACGTTTTATCAACGTATCGCCCCTAACTGCCTAAATTCGAGCCGTTACTGCGATGAGCTTACTGTACCTGATCTAGTAACAACCTCACGACACGCTCCGCCGTCTCGACAACCTCCGGCAAATCTTGCGCGCCAGCCAGAGCAATATGCAGTCGAACGACACGCTGATGCGGCAGCATCTGAATAATTGAGTGGGTAGCACGCAGGACTCGGGCGCCTGCGTTGTGAGAAAGCTGAAAAAAGCAAAAGTTTTCCCCGGGGTCCCTTTATGGATCAGGAAGGCTAGTGTCGATCAGTCCTCAGCGACAATTGGAGAATAACGAATCGGTTACGCGATGCCAAAGAAAAGGTTAGAGCACACTTAGCCGAAAGATAGATAGCAGGGCTACCCCGAAAAGTCACTACCCCGAAAAAATTTGCATGTTTTTCATAGAAAATCTGAATCAAAACTGGATTTTCCGGGAAAAACTTTCAACAATTTTTTCGGGGTAAACGATTTCGGCGTAGTGACTTTTCGGGGTAGTGACCGGACGGCCTTCAAGGGATCTGTAACTCCTCCCAAATCGACATCACCCATCTGTTGGGTCGTGTTGATTCAAGGTCGACACCACTACTTGACAGCAAAAAAATAAATGCAGATCGGTGGGTTCATTGAAAAATGTAATGCGCATTCATGTATCCTTTGGAGTGACGCACGACGCTTCACTGGTGAGAGGTGTTATTCTCGCGCTAAGATTTCATTAATGAATCGGCATATCCCTGTTACGCTTATATTTTTTTCTCTCACCGGCTCCAGTAGGACGTCGGTCAAGTCGCTGGGTGTCAGCATATTGGTGCGAAGCCAACATGTCACCTGCAAAAGAGGAAGAGTGAGAGAGAGAGCTCGAGAGATAGAGAAAGAGAGTAAGAGCCAGAGAGCGAGAGACGGATAGAGAGAGAGACGAGAGAGAGAGACGAGAGAGAGAGACGAGAGAGAGAGAGACGGAGAGAGAGAGAGAGTAAGAGGGTGAGTGAGAGAGGGCGGGGGGGAAAGAGATGCTTTGGCTTACCTTATGTGCCGTATAAGAAACGGACAATGATTTTTGATGAATTTTTGCCATTGCGTGGATCGTACCTAGAAAGTTAGATCTGCTAAAGGCAAGATAGTTTTTCTAGTTAAAACATAGTTACATATTACTAAGAACGCTATTAAACACCTTCTGTTCAGTTACTAGACATTTCTAGACTTATACAAAAAGTCCCCCCGATAATGCGAAAGAACCGACTTTTTAGAACGAATGTTTGACATTCAGCTTGGTGGCAAAATGAATTTCGACATGAAATTTTTGAGACAATGATTTGTAAATGGCGTACCATGCAGTTCGAGATTGTAGGGAGCCCTTAGCAGTTGCAACCATCTATCCGGACGCACAAACGCCTAGGTGAATGTGGAGATGTATTGGAAAGTGCAGGCAACTGATGATCTCGATTTTACATAACAGTGAATTTAGCTGTTTTATGGCTCTCCGACTTTTCCACGGCGACCGCAGGCGAATGAAATGGAAACTTAAAACTGGTTTGCAAAGCGGGGCATGTGGAGTGTAAAGGAAGCGCCGGAAGGGCGTAGATTCCGTTTGCGTTCATCTTTCCCCAGCCAACTTACCTCAAACCCGGCGAAGTCGATGTGTCGTGTGCTCGCTCGGAAGAATAATTTCCGTAATAATGGGAAGCGGTGTCGGAGGTTCATTTCAAATTCTGGGATCGGCGAGTGTGCGAAACGGCGGCTATAATTTTGTGACGTACAATACTGATTCAAATTATCTCATTCCGGACCCGCGTGCGACCCGGCCCTGAACCCATGCAAATTTTGGTGGGTTCGAGTCCGGGGTGGAAAATGTTTCTCAGAATGCTTTTTTTTTGCTGAAATTTGCACAGAATTTTGGTCAAAGCGTGTGACACCTACTTTAGTCTTTTAGCAATTTTTCGAGTTAGCATGAGCAGATTCAGTGCTACTCTATAAGCTAGAAAAGAAGGCCCAATACTCAACCCATTGTCAAAAAATTTCTGGCCTCACCAAAGCTGCCCAGCGGTTATGCGTGGACTGAAAACTGATAGGCCACCGGAACTTCCTTAATTAGCCGAATTTCTGCGCAAATCTCCTCGAAATCGGACCACATTTCGCGATAGCTAGGCCAATAAACGAAAATATGCTCTAATTTTCGCCAGTACCGTAAACATTTGACTTTTGGTGCACAGCCGCCTTACTTGCTGTGTCGAAAATTCACGGAGAATGCGGTCCTGGAACTGCGCCGCCAAGCCACCGTTAGCACATCGCCCCGACCGTTCGCTCTCATTGTCAAATCCGTCTATAACACAAAACCTTGTACAAAATATCTACCAAAACACTGCAATTTCTAAGTTGCCGGCCTTTGAACAGAAGCTTAGAAGGCGTTCGTTTTAGTGGTGTCAAAACGCTGACCGACGTGATCCGGGCCCAGGACACCCGACGCGGCATCCATTTCGCGGCGGAAACGAGACGGGCAACACCCTGAAAATAAACTGTTAGCGACGGGCTTTTTAGCCGAGGGGACCAAATTTTCCCAGGGACATGAGCTTTCTCTATGGCATTTTACAGCGTTTTTATATATAACAAAACTAAAGATTGTAAAGGTTTTCAAAAATTATAAATTTTTTAAATGTATGATATGATGATAAAAGATTAAAAAATAACAACATTTTGAAATTTTCATTATATATATAATTTTCTAGCAATCAGAAACGCTATAAAAAGTTTTATCCTGGCAAAAGGTATGCGCGGAAAAAATTAGCCTGGAACCGCAAACTGCCGAGTACCAAATGTGCATTCCAAATCAAGAAATTTTGGTTTTGAAGGATAGGAAACCGGAAAATCCCAGCTTCCTTCAGTTTTCAGTGCCTTGAAACTCCGCTCTCCCAAAAATCTGATTGTACCGTTCCCACAAAACTAACGCTGCTTGCAATTTTTGCGCCGAAAAACTAAACCCGGTTTTGCAAGGCCGACCTTGCATGTCTTTCGTCCGGAGATCTTCTCGTTTAGCTGGAGATGTTCGATGACAGCTATTTGAGCAAATGTGGAGAGGGAAAATAAACGAAAACGCTTCATCTGAAGTCGGCAGACGCAGGGTGTGCTGGTTAAAGTAGTGGCCAACTTTTCAGGGATCCGCGTTGACCTAATATCTGCGTCTGGGGACCTGCCAATCTGCTTTTCAAAAGAAAGACGCGCCATTCTGAGCGTCTGAGGTAAAGCACTAATGGGTATCTGACCAGCAGTACGTCTCGAACGCTTAGAAAGTAAACCAGCTAACCTTTTTCACAATCGAAATAAGCTAGCGAACAAATAAGGAGAATTCGATTAAGACAAGAGGAGTAAAACAGAAAGTGACTCCACATGGCAGAAGGTAAACGAGTCAAAATCCGTCTCCCGTCTTCTTTTCTTGTTCAATGCGACACGCTAAACCCTCCAAGTTCTTGCTGGATGCTAAGTGAAGTAAGCGTAGCTTTGAAAGATTGATCAGAAGGAGGTTTGGAAAAGTAACTGCTGCTGACTAATCCAGATCTCAGGTTGCTATATGGTAGGCTGCCAAAGCTCAGTCGTAGAAGAGTCAGTTTCGAATCATCCTCCCGGCGAGGATCGGCGAGTTTGGAGGGGTGGGTGCGCGGGTAGTGAACAGGGTAACGCCGAAGCGCTATGGATTTTATCATTTTATCAATCTTGATCAAGCGGACGGATGTGGCGTCAAAGGTGATGCAATGGATTGCATTGTGTTGAGAACAATTAACGCTTGTGCACAGGGTTGTAGCGAACCCCCATTTTTGGGTTGGGGGCAGCACCAAAAATAAAATTGAAAACGGCGCCGCAAACAAAATTTTTGGAAAAATATGGTTACTCCGCAGGGGAAGCTAAAAAGCATGAGCATGATGGAGGGCTACTTGCCCCCAGCTTTTCTTGGCTTCATCCTATGGGCCTGCTTGTGGTTCTTCGGTAAAAACTCGTTGACGGCGTTGATAGCTTACACCAGCACAATTCATGCCCAGTGAAATACTACGCAATGAAGCCCGCATCGATTGTAAATATGTGGCGAATAGCCGCCATATACCTTTAATCAATTTATCGTGAGAGTACAAACACTGGAAACTATGTATTGCGATATTTCATTAAAATTTTGCACAAAATCCATATTATCAAGATTAAAATTTTCAGTTTTTGGTGACGCGTTGGAAACAATACGCCATAATACTACGAACAGACACAGCGCGCGCCCACCGACCGTGTAGAGCAGCAAAGCGGAGAAGACTCGCGGCCTCACTGATTTTGGGATTTACGCGTACCGCTCTGCCAAACCCCTGCCCATTCCCTTTTCTAACAATTCGGCCGGTGCGTAATTGACTTCTTCCCCAGTGGCTGGGTTTTTAATTATTCAGCTTCTACTTATTAGCTTATAGCCTTCTTCGATATATCCCGGTTTACCAAAAGATAATTTTTTTTGTTCTGCCGGTGTCATCAGGCGAAATTGTTTCTTGGCAGTGGATATCCTCGACTCAGAATCCTGGCATTTGCTTTATGTCGGCTTTCTTTAAGTTCCATTACTGTAATACATTTTTGTTCACTTTGGATTATCGAAACGATAAGAATTTAAATCCCGATATCCGGCGATTGTAGGGCAAAAAACGGTTGTAACTTTCAAGCTGAGGGGTTCCGCAATTTTTTTTTGAACGGTTTCAAAATCCGCAAAACTTCCAAACCTAATAAAAATTATTTTCAGGAAATTAGAATATAAGCTATGTTTTTTTTGTTTTAGATGTATATTAATATATATTGACTAGATTTACGTCTGTTAAGACCTTTTACTGCAAAATTGTCTTGGACATCCTGGGATCCCTGGGCTCGGGCTTTACTAACTGCCTCCGAAATAGCGCCCAATCTTTCCCAGCGCAGTAGCTTGGTAACCTCAACCATCTTCCTCTAATTTTCAAACTGTTTTCCCTTATGTGTTCTTATCTCTACGTGGTTTTAAATTTTTTTGTTTAGCTCAACATGGCCCAAGCCCAGCAAATTATCCTGACGCTTGAGCAAGGACGTCGCCTTAGAACTGCGTTGCTGAACATTGTAAGCGGTTCCTCCCTTCGTGACCAGTTGTTTTTAGATCCAGGTCCTGGACGAGGCGTTGGAGCAAGAACCGGTGAACGTTGAGCGCGCCGAAGAAGATCCGAGAGACGAGAGCGGAGAGGGTTCTGATGGGGGAGAAGATGGAGCTGCCGGCGCCGATCAGCGAGTATTTGGCCCGTTGCATGTGGAAGTAGATCTACAAGTATGATTTTTACTTTTTTTTCCGATCAGAAAATGTGGCACGGTTAAGAATATTATGAGTGATGTCACTCACGGGCTTTTGGGACTGCCCACCGTGCAACATTTCCTGATTTCTATGTATGGGTTGAAGGATGACTCCATTTGCCGCTTCTTTCTCCCTTTTCCCACACCTTAACCTGACTTTTCTTCAAGTAATTAATTTACGCTTTTGTAGGCCACTGGAGACGTCGATATGCCCACCGTTTGAGTTTGAGTTGTTGTTTTTTTGGTTGTTGATAAACACAGATTTGTGGTTTGAGAGATTGAGATTGTTGATACACACACACACACAAATACAGATTTGGTTGGCATTTGTTTGAGGCAAATTAGCTGCGGGACATTGGTATCAGGGTGGGGGTCCTCTTGTGGTCTTCTCGACGAGTATTGTTGGAATCACTTTTGGCCTTCTGACGTGTTCAACTAGCGTTTTTCTAGGATATGTAGCTGTAGCTGGAGCCTAAAAAGACCGGACGGGTTTTCCCGGAAATCAGCAGTGGTGCACACGTTTTCTGCTCATCTTGGACTGCCACCTTAAATCGAAGGGACAACTTTACCGGAAAATTCGCTTGGCAAAAAAGCTAATAATATAGTGTTGGGGGGCAATGCATCCGGCTCAAAGATAAATAATAAAAATCTAATTTATAGCCGCAATGTTTGAGTAAAGGTAGAAACCGTTGAATTGTTTGGTTTATATGGCATAACTTAGTTTTTCAGAAGCCGGTCCCATCTGCATCATCCTCGCCAAGTTTCCACGTCACCGCGCTGGCCGCTCGCTTCTGCCTGGTGCTGTACTCTGCCGTCCATGACTACATGTTTCAGGCAAGAAACTTTCCAATTTTCATAAAGTTTTTAGCCCCGTTTCACCGACATTGACTATGATGTCTTCACGGACGCTGCTACTTATGTAGATGCCGGCGAGTCTGCCTTCAAACGCGCCACTTACAGGTACTACATTTTCGCATGTTTTTTTAGCATTTTTTAGGGACACCCCGGTCCTCGCGTGGATTTTGGTCCCGGACGTCTATTGGGGGAACTTTGGTAACCTTGTACAAGATTTATAAAGCTTTTGTTTTAGGCAAATACCTGTTCTGTTGTGCGGATATTCTCGTGGCGTGGCTGATTTTGCCGATCGATCACATCCTGTCGCGCGGGCGGTGAGTTTTCTTATAGCAAAAATAAATTTTTTTGAGGAACGAGAGCATCATCTCCTATGTGGTCGTCTTCTGGCTGGCCAACCCGCTCACCGCCTTCATTTCGGCACGTGGCTGTTCGGATTCGTTGGTCTGCGCAGCTGTGCTATTCGTCTTGTATCTAATAGGTAAAGGAAAGGTAAAACATGGTTTTGCGGCACAATTTTCATGTTTTTTAGTGTTTCTATGCATCCTTGGCGCACGGAGCTCTGGCCAGCCACCGCAAGCTGTATCCCGTCATCTACCTCGATTCCGTGCTCATGCTCATCATTTCTGAAGGTATAACTTGCCCAGTCTCATCCAGAATTGTTTCCGTTTTAGGTGAAGACGTTCGCGAGATGTGGACCAATTGTTCAGTCTTCGGTTTCGTCCGCCGTTTCTTGAACCTGCGAGCTGTCGGTTATGCACTGGTAATGTTATTCAGGTTTCTTAACATTATTTTTAGACTGCCATCGGCTCATTTGCCTTGATCGTCTTCGGGCTCTACCAAATCTACGGGCAAGAATTTCTGGAAGAGTGGCTGCTCTACCACATCGGACGCCGAGACATCAAGCACAACTTCTCGCCGTGGTTCTATCTCCTTTACGTGGTGAGGAACAATTCTGATTTCTGAATGCTCTTTTTTAGGCTCAGCAATCCCCTGTCTCAGTCTACATTGGATACCTCCCATTCTTTATCCAAATCGCCTCGATTTTCCACGCCGCCGAAACGTAAATTTGTGGCGTTTTACCAATTTTTATTTTTAGGCTTTACTTTGACCTGCCGATGTGTTGGTTCATGAGTACTATGCTGTTCGTGGCCGTCAACAAGGTCTCTACTAGCCAATACTTTATCGGGTATTTGGTCTTCCTGCCATTCGTCGCGTCGCGGGTCGATGTAAGCATTTTTATGCCATCAGTGATGAAATCCTTTTTTAGACGTCGCTTATCCTGATCGCCTTGTGGTTGTCCGCTCAGGCAGCTTGGCTCGGGCTTGCATATCTCTACGAACTCAAGGTAAATCAATGTTTTTAGCCACATTTTTGATTTCAGTGTTATGCCACGCTGTTCTACGTCTGGATGGCAAGCTTATGGTTCTTCTTCGTCAACAGCTACCGGAGGAATGTGCGAGAGCAATGGACCAATAGGCCGCCAAGAAAAAGAAAGAAAAATGATGTTTTTTGTAACAATGTAACAATGTGAATACCTTTATTGCAAGAATTTTTTGAATAAATTTTTTTCGATTTACATTTAGTTTTTGGGTGCGCCGCGAATTTGCGTATACATCCGTTCATTAGTAGAAAGCTTGCGCTTCAGCGTTTCCGGGAATGCCGCGCCAGGGTCAGTGCACATCGTGAAGAGCTGCTTCGTAAAGCCGTCAGTCGCATGTTTCCGATTGGCAAGAAGGTGCCGATGCAGCCCTAGCCGTCGCGCCGCATTCTGTGTTACTCAAACACCACTTGAATCAACAGGAATACTATGCAAGTGTGCTATACGAGTGGACGACAGCAAACATCCATATCCAGTCAACGGGAATCGTTCTTGTGAAAGATGCGCGCTAACTCTGGCCAAAAATCAATGCATTCTTATGCTTAATGTTTTGTTTTGTTTAGTGGTGTAACCTACAATGTCATGTACATTTTAGAAAGCCAAAAACGCGGTCACTCCGGTCCAGCAGAGGATACCTACGAGTTGACTAGATCGCTTGCGCCGCCAAACCAAAGGCCGTTCTTTTGCCTATGTATGAGAGTTGTCCGGTAGCCACCGCGTTTTTATTCCCTGACTGGCTAACTCATAATTCGTAAGCGCTGCACGGATTGTTTTAGACTTTATTCCATGTTCTGATGAGGTGGCGGAGGGGGCTTCGGCTTCTCCTTGCCGCACATAATTTGCCCAACCAGGAAGAACAAGAATCCGAATTCGATGAACGTGATGCAAGAGATGCCCATCAGCACGCCGAGCAGCCCGCCCAGGTTACCGATGAACTGGTTCAACTAGAGGGAACCACATACGAATTAAAAAGGCAAAACATACTCCCAGTTTTGGGGTCTCCTGGTAAATCTGGGATGCTTGGCCGTTGTCGGTGATCTGGAAAGTATCGAGGTGTCCACGGCTGTATAAAACTCAACTGAGGGTGCTTTCAAAATGTCGGAAGTCATATTGTTCAAATTTCATAATGTCGAAATTTATATAAGCCAGTTTTCCAGGACGAACCCCCGAATCCTAGGCAAAAAAATGCGGATATTTTGAAATTTCGACAGTGTGAAATGTCGACGTTATGAAATTTCGACATTCTGACACTTCGACATTGTGATTTTCGACATTATGCTAGCAAATCAGCTCAACTCACTTCGACCAGCGCGGTATCCTTGGCCCAAAAGCTGCAGTTCGGTTTAAGCAGCGTTTCGGTCAGGCAAGCTGGGGCCTAAATCGTGGAAATTTCGTATGGTTTCTGAAGAACCTCCTCTCTCTCTCTCTCTCTCTCTCTCTCTCTCTCTCTCTCTCTTGCTCGCTTTTTCGCTCTTGCTCTCTATTTCCCTCTGTCTCTCTCCAACTCTGATACGCACGTATTACCGTACCTCGGTCACATAATTCGATCGACTGATCGCCACAGTAAATAGCTGATTCGAGCACGGAAGTGGACAATGGCAATCTGGCCATAGCGATGGATCGCCGAGCGCGGAGATGGCTTCTACGCATGTTCCTGAAATATGTCCCTCTATTTCTATGTCTCTGTCTTTCTCTCCCTCTCTCCCCCCTCTCTCCCTCTCACTCACTCTCGCTCACTTACGTTTCTTCAAATCGCACGATATCGCCTCGCTGGGCATCGGAAATCGTGGATCGAAGCATCCACAACTCTCGAAAACCCGATCCTGATAGCAGGAACGAATGCAACCCTGAAAAGGAGCGGTATTCGCCGTCGCTCTCCCTCTTATAGATACACAGAAGCATGAGAATCGACTCCTATCATCGACTAGGTCTAGGCAACTCTGTGCTCTCGAAGACGCCGGGTTGCATTTTCCTAGCCTGAATTTGCGCAAAAACGGGATTGCCCCAATTTTCGAACGGGCTCTAGAGCTAGTAAAAGAAGAGAGTCGATGCTCGCCCCCTTTAAGTTGAATAAGTCCATTTTAAGAAATAATTACTTACGTCAGTAGTATAGCCGCCGTAGTAGTAGAACGACTTGACTTGCGCCGGATCCGTGACGCACTCACCGTACCGACCACCCAGACGCTTGTATTGGGTCTGGAAATTTGATCTCGGTCTCTCTCTCGCTCGCTCTCTCTCTCCAGCTCCTCTCGTCCGTCTAAAAACTTGCCAATAACGGCACTACGGAGCTTTGAATCGCTGGCGGGGCGTTGTAACGTACAGACTCGGAAGAAATGTATTCTTCTGGAGGGTGAACGAAGACCTAAAATGATGGTATAGAGGGAGAGAGAGAGAGAGAGAGAGAGAGAGAGAGAGAGAGAGCAAAAGACCGTTTAACCTACCGTAATCGCTTCCGTATCGATCCAGGGCAGGTATTCCTGGCTATTCACGCGCAGTTTCACTTTCAGGCCTGAAAATTCGTGGTGAACTGCTTGAAAACGCTTGCAAAATACCGCCCGTTAACCCGGTGATCCGCTTCTTGTACGGCGTCGGGTTTAACCGATGGTTGAAGGTGAAGCAATTCCCCAGCACGACATCGTTCCATGAGAAGAAGTCTCGCCTGAAACGGGTGTATCGGGCTTTTAAAGGGACGCAGAAGCCAGCAAGTTAAGTCACCGAAGATTTTCATTTCGGATTTTCAGGGATTTAAGACAAAAAGGGACTCGAAAACTCACGCTAAATTGAGCTCGAGCTCTTCATAGGCGGCCCAATCGAACATCTCGGCGGCAGTCCAGCTGAGACTTGTTCGATTGTCCATGGATTCTAAAACCAGGGATTTGTCTCTCTCGCTCTCTCTCTTAATCTTACTCTCTCAATCTCCCTCTCTCTCTCTCTCATTCTTCCCACCGAGTCCCAAGATGAACGGCACCATGTCCTTGATCATCGACGGGTTTGACACCAAGGCGTTGAGAAGCTAAAAACTTGGCTTTAACATTGCCTTCTTTTACGAATCCCTCTCTCTCACTCTCTCTCTCTCTCTCTCTCTATCTTTCTCTCTCTCTCTCTCTCTTTCTCCCTCCCTCTTTCTCTCTTTCTCGCTCGCCCTCCCACTTACCTCTAGCATGTCTCCGTCGACAGATCCAAAAATGTCCATCATCACTTGCCAGACGAGCATACCTAACAAAATGTTTAGATAACTTTTTAAGGAACTGGGAAGCGCCAAAATCGACCAGGACGTCTACTAGGTCTCGACAGACATTCCCGCACTTCCCAATCCCTTTAAAACCACGAGACCTATCGAAAAAGCGACTTACTAATATCACAAAACTCTCCGGTGTATTCCGGTGTGCATTGGCAGTGAAAAGAGTTGAAACTGAAGCAATCGATTGTTTACTGACAGCGAGAGTGAGAGAGAGAGCGAGTGAGAGAGAGAAATGGGTAAATCATTTACCCATCTATGCATTGCGCTTTTGTATCGCCCGTTTTATTACACGGGCTATACTTGACGCCGTCCTTCATGGTGATCGTGCAGTCGTCAGGATCTGGAAGGGAAAGAACGTGTCTAGAACAAAGCTATTTTTTTGGCTGTTGTAATTCTTCTCGGGTAACGCCGTAGAAAGGTGCTACCGGATAAATCTACAGATTTTAGTCGCTTTAAGGTCCCATTAAAAAAGCGACTGACTATCTTGGCAGATATCTCCAGAAGTTCCATCAACACAGCTACACGTGAAGAACGGGGCGGCTGGAGGGGTGATCTGGAATATTTCGATGTTGCTCTTCCTCTCTCTTCCTCTCTCTCTCTCTCTCTCTCTCTCTCTCTCTCTCTCTCTCTCTCTCTCTCTCTCTCTCTCTCTCTCTTTCTCTCTTTCCTCCCTCTCCCTCTTTCTTTCTCTAGCTCTGTCCCCTCTCTCTCTGTCTCTATTTCTCGCTCTCCCCTCTATCTGCCTCTCTAGCTCCTTCTCTTTCTCTCTCTCGTCTCTCTCTCTCTCTCTCTCTCTCTCTCTCTCTCTCTCTCGTCTCTCGCTCTCTCTCTCCCACCAACCTGACTACACGTCCCCTGATTCTGACATGGATTACAAGCGCATTCATTGATGTCTAAAAAGTGTCCGGTTACCGTAACCACTTCGGAATTACCGGTCTGGCATGCCGACCCCTTCCACCCATCCTGGCAATGACATTTGTACGTAGAGTTCAAGCCCCGCTTCACAATCTCGCAGGTGCCGTTGTGTTGGCACGGGTTGCTGAGGCAGTAGTTCGGAGCTAAATTCAATTTTCGACGAGTGCACCCAAAGGCGGCCGTTCTTTCGCATGAACGGGGGGAGGACCGAACTTTTTTGTATAAGACTAGAATGCATAGTAATTTGGTTTTTAGTTTTTATGGGTGTTTTAGGTCATGTTTAACTACATTTTAACCCGAAAAAACTATCTAAAAACTTTGAAAAAGCCGAAAATTTGGTGAAAAACCGGCTTTTTTGGCCGAAAAATCGATCGTTTCGATATTTTTTTATGCAGATTTGTGAAGTTTTGACGTTTAGGATTAGTACAAACCATTTAGAAACACTTCCATTCTTTTGATTTTAAAAATTAAGTCCTAAGAAAGAAAGCGCCCCACCCTCGTTAATGCGAAAGAACCTCAACAGCCACGCATCTAATTCCCAGCCGGCCCCTTTAAACTAAAATCTTGACTTACTCTGGCACTGATCATCGGTATAGTATTGTAAGCACTCGCACTTGTACCCATTTCCATTCGTCGGGTCCTCCACGCAGGTACCCCCATTCTGGCATGGATTTGTTGGGGTGCACTTGTGAGTCTCTAAATGGAGTGATTAAGAGGAAGCGAGAGAAAGAAAGAAAGAAAGAGAGAGAGAGAGAGAGAGAGAGAGAGAGAGAGAGATGGAGAAAGTGAGGGAGAGAGTGAGGGAGAGAGTGAAGGAGAGAGTGAGAGCGTGAATGAGGGAGAGAGCGATAGTGAAAGTGAGAGAGAGAGGGAGAGGAGAGAAAGAGAGATAGAGAGAGTGAGTGAGATAAATCCCAAAAACTCACGATTACAGTACTGCCCATACATCGTGTCGTCATTACAGGTACAGGCGAAGGAGAAATCCGCCAGATTGTAGGTGCAATTTCCAAGGGTCCCGCACGGATTCCCGTCGCAAGGCGTTTTCACTAAAATTCAGGCGTTTTCAAGGATAGTGAAAGAGAGGAATTGAGGGGCAAGCTAGCAGCGAGCATTTGGGAATGCGGGCACAAAATAACAGAGGTCATTTGGGAATTCGAACTACAAAACCGACCTCCATTACAATCCGCTTTCCCGGTACTCGGCTTTCGATCCCTCGGGCAGACACATTCGCCTTTCCTGAAAACGCTGGGTTCTTTTTGAGGGATAGCGGACCAATGTTTTTTATTGATTGCAAAAAATTTAGATATAAATTAAGTTCAGTTGAAAATTTACCCGACAAAGTCAACGCAAACGCCTGGAGAGCAATCCATGGACGCGCACTGTTGCGGTTCGTCTGAAGAAATTTTGCATAGGTTTGTTCTAGAGAAATTCTTACAGTAGGGGGTGACCTGCCAATAGTGACCGTTGCCGTTTGAGGTGCTCCCGCAAATTTGGTCGGAACTGAACATTTTAAGTTAGTTTGACAGGCTAGCAGAGATCATTTGGGAATGGAAGGGGCAGGCTAGCAGAGATCATTTGGGAATGGAAGGGACAGGCTAGCAGATATCATTTGGGAATGGAAGTGGCAGGCTAGCAGAGATCATTTGGGAATGGAAGGGGCAGGCTAGCAGAGATCATTTGGGAATCGAAGGGGCAGGCTAGCAGAGATCATTTGGGAATGGAAGGGGCAGGCTAGCAGAGATCATTTGGGAATGGAAGGGGCAGGCTAGCAGAGATCATTTGGGAATGGAAGGGGCAGGCTAGCAGAGATCATTTGGGAATGGAAGGGGCAGGCTAGCAGAGATCATTTGGGAATGGAAGGGGCAGGCTAGCAGAGATCATTTGGGAATGGAAGGGGCAGGCTAGCAGAGATCATTTGGGAATGGAAGGGGCAGGCTAGCAGAGATCATTTGGGAATCGAAGGGGCAGGCTAGCAGAGATCATTTGGGAATCGAAGGGGCAGGCTAGCAGAGATCATTTGGGAATGGAAGGGGCAGGCTAGCAGAGATCATTTGGGAATCGAAGGGGCAGGCTAGCAGAGATCATTTTGGACAACTTACTCCTGATATCCATTCAATTGGGACTGGCCAGAGGCCGATTTCTGGCATTTATCATTGCATCCCCAAGAAGCGCCTTGATTCGTCGGCTTCTCCTCACACAGTGAGCACTGCTTCCCGAGAACCGCTGAAAAATGTAGTTTGTAGTCTTAGCTCTCCGATTATTAGTTTGGATTTTGTGTTGATGGCTGGAAAAACTGGCTAATGGTGACAGAAACAGCCGATGACACCTTTAGCAGCACCAAAAACTATTCGAAAATCTGATTCATAAGATTTACGAGCTATATTTAAAGATCTGTTTTGGCGTAATTTTGTTGTACAATTTTTTCTTAATATTATTGTTTGTAATTTCCGTGTTTCTATTGATATTGTTGCTTGTTTGTTCGCCATCTTCCACCGAAGTACCACGGCCGTTCCCAGCGTTTAATTGTTAATTCAAAACCCCCGCGCTCAACAAAAGATCTCGCGGCACTTCTTTCAAAGATCAGCTCGTGAATGTTTCAGGGGTTCTGAAGAAAAGATTGGCCTTTGACGTTCAAGAAAAGCAACTTTAGCGACCTAGAAGTTCTGAAACAATGAAGGAAATTTTTTTAAGGTTTTAATTTCTCTAAAATAATAGAGGAAGTGTTGCTAAACGGTTTTTATTGTTCCTAAAAGTAAAAACCTTGCAAATTTTTATCAAAAAGTACAAAATTTATCGATTTTTCGGCAAAAATGGTCCTTTTCGTCTAAAATTTAAGTAAAACAAAATTTTTCTTAATTTTTTTGGATAGTTTTCTACTTCAGATTTTGTAATAAATTTGAATCGGGTTTAAATTTTGCAAAAAAAAAGTTATAAAAACGCTTTCTATTCGTTGTTACTGATGGCTTCTGGACATCTAGGACATTTTCAGGCGCCTAGTTTGTAGCCTAATATAGTTTATAGCCTAGCGGAAGTTGTATTCCAATGTACACTCAGTGTAGTTTGTACTCTCGTGTAGCTTTCAGCAAAATACCTACCGTAATAGGTATAATTTTGCCCGGAATTGATGCCATCCTTGAATTTTTGCTCGCACTTCGAGACCGTCGGCTGATCGCCCATGTCCGAATTGTCGCAGTCGTTCACATTCTAAAAAGTGCGCTTTTACGGTACCGTACGCCAAAAATCAAAATCAGGTAATGCAGGTAAAACAAAAAAAATGCTCTAACCCACCCCGTTCAGTCGGTAGCAGCCCTTGTCCTGGGACGTGACTGAAAAATTGCATTACACTATGTAAAACCTATCCAAAATATCTGTGGTACTGGGCTATTAGCGGGGGGATTAGTGTTTGCATTTCCGGTCATACTATCTACGTGTCGCGTTTATGTATTTTAACGTACTTAAATAGTGTTTTTCGCGGTTGTTAGGATGGAAAATTCCAAACTTTGATTTTTTGGTGATTTTTCCACATTTTTAAGCGAAAATCAGTCATTTAATTAATTTTAATTTCTATAAACTTTGTATGCGTGTAAATGCTATAAAAATGGTCTTAATTTTGCGCGGAAAAACAGAGCAGGATTACTGCAAAAAATTTGGCTTCCCCGGCGAACATACCGGTACAATTTCCGCTTTGTAATTACGCTATAGTAATCGGAAATTTGCGTAAATTTGAATCGTCATTTTTGACGAAAAAATGACAAAATTTTGCTATGGTCGCTTACAATTCGCCTGCAACTGCATACACGCTCTCCCTTGGTATAACGGCGTGCAGGTACAGTAGTAGTCTTCCCCGCTGAAAGTTATAGTTTGTAGTTTAGAGCCGTAAAATAGGTTATTAAGCCATTAAACCATACTTAAAAATGTTCGAGCAAGTCCCGCCATTTGCGCACGTGTTCGGCTGGCAGATGGTTTTGTCTGAATTTATATATTCTAAATTAACCTCAATCGCCTTATTTTTAAGGTATTTTTAACCTTATTTACACACCAAAATAACCACCAAAAACTTTATTCTATCTTGTACTTTATCGCAGCGTCAAAACCCGATGAAAATAATTTTTGGCTGTTGATTTCGCGAGTGGAACATTATGGCATTAAAGGATTAAATTAACATCAATAAGGTGAATTTTTAACGCTTTTTTATTGTAATTTATCAGCTATAATAAGCATCAAAAACTCTATTAAGTTTCATACGTTTTACCCCGCCAAAACACGATGGAACAGACTATTTGTGACTACGGGTAACCCCATTGCGGGTCTCTCCCCCGCCGGCCCCAGCCCCTCACCCCTCATCAACAGCCCCCGACAGACCACACACGTCGGGGGTGTAGCTCAGTGGTAGAGCGCCCGCTTTGCATGCGGGAAGTCCGGGGTTCAAACCCCCGTACCTCCAAACACTTTTTGCTTTTTGGCACAGGATTTGGGAATTGTATCGTCAAGCTTTTGCAAGTATTCAGGAAGTCGGAAAAGTTGTTTTGAGGTGAATTTGAAGAAGTTGATGGTTGGAATGTGCCCAAAATGGCAGAAAGCGCTCGGAATACAGGAAAACAGCTCTACCTCGATTTTTCAATCCAAATTTACAGAAGGGTGAGCTCCAAAGCATGAAAAATTTATAGAAAGTGATCAAAATGCCATAAAGCAAACGGTTAGGTTAAAAATGCTTTAGAATTTGCAAAAAAATGAGTGGGCGCCTGCTAAAAAACCCAAAAAGGCAGCTGTAACCCAAAATAATGAAAATAAGGCTACGTAATGGATTTTCAGACGAAATTTCTTACGGAAAAATATAAATTCGTATGATAAATAGCACTACGCTTTAAAAACCAACATTGGCAGCGCTCGCCCGCGTATCCATTCGGGCATTGACAGATATAGGTGCCATTATCCGAACTGCAAGCGGCGCCCTGCTGACACGGGTTCGAGGCGCACGGGTCGTTCATATCTAGAAAACTTGTATAAAAAACAATAAACTATTATAAAAGCCTATAAACGCTTCAAAGCTACGAAAAACTGTTCGAAAAAGGCCCGGAGGTATGGCGAAAGTTAGGCAATGCGACTGTTTACAGACCCATATCACAGTTCTCGCCGGTCCATCCGGTCGAGCAGACGCAGCTGTACGAATTTATGCCGCTCTGGCACACGCCGTGGCCATTAGTGCATGGGTTGCAAGCGCAGAGGTCGTCGGCTGAAAAAAATCGCTCTCTCTCACTCTCTCTCACTATCTCTCTCTCTCTTTTTCTCTCTCTCTCTCTCTCTATCTCTCTCTCTCTCTCTCTCTCTCGGTCTCTCGATCATTCTCATTCTAACTCAATCTTGCTCTCGCGCCCTCTCTCACTCTCCCTGATCCTCATGCTCTCTCCTTCTCGCTCTCGCCCTCGCTCGCGCTCTCTTTCTCTCTCTCTCTCTCTCTCTCTCTCTCTCTCTCTACCTTGAGTACAATTCGTTCCGCTCGTCCCCTCATTACATAGGCAATAAATGTCCGATAAACAATAATAGTAATCCACGTCGGCTGTTGCGCCGGTCGTACTGTAATGTCCGTATTCTATTAAATTTCAGCGAAAAATACATGCGTTAAGGTCATAAAAAAGAGGTTTTTTGACCAACCGAATATAAGCCGGCTTACACGCACCGTAGTTCTCACAGCCGTAGGGAGGGTAGTAGGGATTCGGGACCTAGGATAGATTTTTGGTGTGTGAGAGCAGTGATTTTTGTGGAATTGCATTCCGAGAAACCGAGAAAGAGAGCGCGAGCGAGAGAGAGCGAGAGAGTGAGAGAGAGAGTGAGAGACATAGAAATCGTATAATGAATTTACCTGTGCCACAGCGCATCCAATAAAAAACAACGCTAGAATTAACATAGCCAGGCCGGCCGGCTGTTTTGCACATAGGCTACCGTAATCCTAACTTGCTGGGAATTCCACGTGGGACTGGGAATACCTTCTAGCCTGGGAGAACGCCCACACCATGAAAAATTTATAGTTTTAACCACTCCCCCCGGTGAACTATGGTCAGTGAAAAGCGCTCTTTTTCCACGTCTGCCCCCTTTTTGAAGATCTTTGGGTTACGGTAGTGGATTGTATTATTTAGGAAGCTGCCCATTTCCATGACGCCTTTTTGAAAGTGCCTAGAAGATGACAGTGTGCTTTGAAACACCACGATTTTTTCGGGGGAGGCTCGTTTCTCTCTCTCTCTCTCTCTCTCTCTCTCTCTCTCTCTATCTCTCTCTCTCCCTCGCTTTCGCTCTCTATCTATCTCTCACGCTCTCTCTCATCTGTTTTCCGTTAGCTATTTAGGCAAGCTTCCATCGTTTTGATATACAATTTATTCGTTTAGCACTTCCCTGCTTTGCACACAACTGCGATTATGATCAAAACAACAAAAATACAGCACGAGATTTTAAAGGGTAATAAAATTCATTTTATCGCTTTCGGGGCCCGCGTGAAAAATGACGATTTGCGAAAAACGTTAAAAACCGGCGTGCAGAGGCCGATGCCCTCGGCGCTCTTCTCGATCCCAAAACCAAGCACTTTAAAGGTGCGAGTCTGCCCGTCGACCTGGACACCGGTGTCGAGGTTGAAGCCGTAGCCAACCCGCTGCACAGCATTTTCCTTTTCTCTCCAGACGACCTTAGCCTCGGCGCCCACGTCCACGCCCTTGCTGGTGATGCCGAAGTTTGCGCCCACCTGTAGATCTGTTTAAAGGAGCCAGGAAGCGTGAGAATCGACCCTCCCTTCGACTAGGTCTCGACACTTACACTTTCGCCAAAATTCGATTCGTTTTCGACCCACCTTCACGCAGTCCAGATGGTGTCGCTCGTTTTTTATATGCAACACGCCGGCCCGGGCGCCGACCTGAATTCTGGTTGACGTTTCTAGATGGAAAGACGTCTTTTTTGCGCAGAATTTCGCGCTGATTCCGATTCCTTTTTTAAAATAGACGATTTTGCAAAATTTATAACGCTTCTGATATCGATATCGGCTGCAGCCAATTCGAAAGGGGCGCAACGACCGAAAAGCCCTTAAAATTGCTCACCTCAATTCCCTTGCCGATGTATACGTTCCCATCCACCGGCAGCACGGCACCATCCTTCATATTCACGAGCGTCATCTGCGCTTCCGTGGCTATCCCATCCTTGTCCGCCCGAAAATTTTGAATAGCGGACGAGCCGAGCGCCGAGCCAGCCAACCCTCCGGCTATGCCACCGACCGCCCCGCCAGCGACACACCCGATCGGACCAGCCGCCGCTCCTGCCAACACGCCGGCTTGGACGCCAGGCATTGCCAACGCAGCCCCTCCCGCCCATTCTCCGGCGACGCACAGGCTACACAAAATTGTCTTCTTGCCCGGGTTCCGCTTGCAGTCCTCGGCGTCGGCGAGTAATAGCCGGGTGAATTTGAGACCCTCCTTGGCCTCCTCGGAAAGTTCCCCCTCGCTGGCGTCCTCCTCTAGAGCGGAAATGATCCGCAGGTAAGCCTCGATTTTATCGTCGATCTTGATTTCATCGTAAATGGATTTTCCGATGCGGATTCCGCTGGCGACGATGGATACAACGAGGAGAACCCCACCGCCAACCTGAAGAGGGACATGGAGAGAGAGAGAGAGAGTGAGGGAGAGAGAGAACGAGAAAATGATATAGAGAAACGGCTACACATAGGATACAAAGCCGGCGATAAAATGACGGGGATTGGCCACTACTTCCAATATTTCAAATTAGTGCGAGATTTTAAGAATGTCGTTCAATAAAGCGACAAAAAATGTGCTACGTAAGTGATTTTGAACACGAAAAAATTCTCAGCGTTTTGAATATTTTCGATATTTTCAGATGGCCATTAGATAGAGGGGCGAAAAACAGAGCCACGGCTTGACCATAGCCCGAAAAAACCATTTTTAAAACTATTTTTATTGTAAAAAACGTTAATTTGCCAAATATTTTTTGAACCCCCGTCGTCCACTGAGTCTGAGAAATGTTGAAAAGGTTCAACCCGGACAATAAATTATTTTAGCTTGAGCTTACCCTCAGTCCAGTTTGAATCTTTGCAGCCGCGTTTACAGCCGACGGAGACAGCTGGATGTGGGGGTTGCTGGGACTAGGAATGGCCTTCGCATCGAGCACCAAGCGAGCATGGCCGGACTGCGTGCCCGGTTGATTAGAAGGGTTCATGAACCGAATGATGGCACCTATGAATAAATTTATAGAGATTCACAGGCAGAGAGAGAGAGCGAGAGAGATAGAGGGTGATAGCGAGAGAGAGAGAGCGAGAGAGCGAGATATTGAGAATGATACCACGATACCATCACGAAATCGGCCTCCCGAATCGATCAATTTCGGATCCATGATTCCAGCCACCATCCGACCGTTCAACATGCTAGGCGGAATCAGCCGATATCTATATTATGAAATTGGCGCGTTCACGAAGACGGTAGGATTCTAATATCAACCGAAGCATTGTCTATCTTACCTGCTAAAAGCCTTCGAAAGCTGCAGCACCTTCGTGAGCCTTTCCATCCGTTTGGCGTACTCCTTGAGCTTCGTGCTCCTCGTTTCCGTCGTCTTTACGCGCTGCATTTTGGGCTGAAAATGTAGTGGATAATAAATGGAGAGAGACAGAGAGATGAAGAGAGAGAGAGAGGCGGGAGAGAGCGCGGGAGAGAGCGAGAGAGAGTGGGGTCGATTTTCCGGCTCTTAAGTTAAGGTCCTCAGTAGTGCAAAAGCAATTCGACGTCCGAAAACACTTTACGCAACCAAAAACATGGAAAGCCGCTATAAAAAAAACGTCTCGGGCCGCAATTGTCGCAGCAGAAAGTGTTTTCGACCCGCATTATGGGCTACTTCACGGCACTACCCAACTGATAAGGGGGATTAGGTGGTGGCTCGGCCCGGGGTTTGCGTTCAGTTTTTTAAAAAACAAATTCAAAGGCATCTGTCAATACTAAAAGGGCTAAAAGCTTTTTGGGCAAACATTCCACAAAACAGCGAGTTTTTAAATTTAGAAAAATTTGAATCCAAAATTTTATCACTCCCCTTTTTTGGTACTTCAAGCGATAATTTCCGTTTACATCCGTCGCTGACTGTCCGCGTCTTAGCCACAAAGTATTCACTTCCGCCTGTAGCGCGGCAAACTCTAAGCCTGGACTAGGTTTATTCAAAACAATGTAAATCTAAGTCGCGTGTCTGGCTTAAGGTACAAGAACGCACCCGTTACATGGTGTCCCCTGGAACATTGGAATCCCACACTTTTCTGGCGATGGCTTTGGATTTAGACACTTATAAATATTATCGTCTCTTCCTCTCTATCTCTCTCAATCTCTCGCTCTCTCTCTCTTTTTTTCGCCATGTGTAAACTCGTTCCCGACCATGGACAATGTTTCTTTCAAAAACCCACACATGGCAGCCTAGCAGAGAACTTTGAGCAGGTGGATGAAACCAGAAGGCTAGCAGTGATCATTTGGGAATGGAAGGGGCAGGTTAGCAGAGATCATTTGGGAATGGAAGGGGCAGGCTAGCAGAGATCATTTGGGAATGGAAGGGCCAGGCTAGCAGAGATCATTTGGTAATGGATGGGGCAGGCTAGCTGAGATCATTTGGGAATGGAAGGGGCAGGTTAGCAGAGATCATTTGGGAATGGAAGGGGCAGGCTAGCAGAGATCATTTGGGAATGGAAGGGCCAGGCTAGCAGAGATCATTTGGTAATGCATGGGGCAGGCTAGCTGAGATCATTTGGGTGGTACAGTATTATTTTTCCTGTTTAACCCGCAATTTTGCATTATTTTTATCCCCTTTTCCGCAAAAATCCAAGCCAAACTTTCCGACCCCAAAATTCCGTGACTTTCAATTAGGGCGGGGTAGGCGGAGGGGAGAATCCCGAACAAATCGGACCCACCACACACAAAAAAAATAATTAATCGGCAGGATTAGACCCTCGGATTAGGACTTTTTAATCCCGTCGCACTGGCCGGCAGCTAGTCTGGAGCGCTACCCTTTTTTTGCAAAATGAATCGGAAGATCAGCAGGAATTGCAGGGATTTTTTGAGTAGGGGGGATTTTAGCGCCGGATAATCCGGCCCTAGAAGCTGAAAAGTCTAAAAATGCAGCTTTGTTCGGGTGGTGGGATAGTTCAGGGCGGAGAATTTGTTTTAAAGGGAACGTGATAACTAAAAATTGTTGAAAATATCCAGGAGGGCCAATTACCATGTATTTTTAGGCTAGATTGAACTGAGAGAAAGGGAGAGAGAAAGAGAGAGAGAGAGAGAGAGAGAGAGAAAAAGCGCGAAAGAGCGAGGGAAAGAGAAAAAGCAATTTTTAAAAAGGATATAATGTTAAAGGGGTGTGCCAGCTCAAAAAAACCCAGAGGACGGAATGGATGGCCAGCTAGAAGAGATTCTCCAAAACAGTTTACGATACATTATGAAACATAGGAAGTGCGTACTGGTTAGCAGAGATACCTGGAGAAGCACGAGCTTTAGGTAGGTGACCAGGAGTTCTCGCGGAAGTCGACGATCGGTTGCAAGCAAGCAGAGATCCTTGAGGAAGACAGGAAACTGGGAAGCTAGCAGAGGCCATTGTTGAACCATGGAATGCAAGACAACGACTCCTGAGGAAGCCGAGGCTCAGCTAAAGGCTAGAATAGCCGTGAAAATTAGTGGAAAACTCGAATGACTTCAAAAGCTCGCGGCGATCATCTAAAAAAAAATAGTTAAAATCTCTCTCTCTCTCTCTCTCTCTCTCTCTCTCTCTCGCTCTCCCTCCTCTCTCTCTCTCGCTATTCTTGAGATTGTCTACCGATTTCCCTGATTTTAAATTTTTGATACCGAGCAAAAATCACCGTTCCTGCGCCCTTGCTTGGACCATTCATTTTTCCGATGTTTTTTCGAGATCAACCCAAGATTAGTCGTCATGACTCAGCCAATGAATATGAGGGCGTGGGCTAATCTTCCACGTCTCCCCCTAATTCCCAAGGCAACTTTGCAAATCCCCGAAAAAAACTAGATTCTGACCGCACCGCATTAATGGGGGGATTTTCCGGGTTCACACGCGTGGGGGGCAATTCCGGATCACCTGGGATTAATTTAATTCAAAAGCATTGAAAAAAGATCCAAGACGAACCCTCAAATAATCCTCTGGATTCCAGAATTCCGACAACCTTATCGAAAACGGCCGTGTATTGAACCCATTGAATAATTGGAGAGAGGGAGAGAACAACTGAGAGAGAGAGAAGAGAGAGAGAGAGAGAGAGAGAGCGAGCAAGAAAGAGAGAATCTTTGAAAATTTGGTACTTCAGTCCCGTTGAGTCTTCGTTTTTAGGGGCTTGATAGGATTATGAAGCCAGCTTAGGCCGTTTGCCCACAAATAATATGTTCGAAAGGGCGTCACGAACTACTGAAAATCAAGAGGTTTGGAGGGCTTAAAGTTTTTACTTTACAATGTCACTTTTTTTGCATGGGACAATGCTAAGATTGTGGTGTCTTTAGGCATTTTAAATTGATTTCGATTGTAAGTTTGGTTTTTGCAGATAAGGCCTGCAAATCCTGAATACAAACTGCCGACGGCTTATCATCCATCTGAAAATGAAATATATCGATTAAAGGGCCTGGAAAGCGTGAGAATCAACGCGTACCTTGGATGTCTGGACTTGCGCTGCTCTCAAGGTCCCACTTTGATGGCTCTTAAAGGTACACTAAAATCTCGTTTCAAAAATTTCTGCAAGGGTCGGGAATTTGGGTTCTTTGCCGCGCCTGGCCCCAACCCTTCACATCCCCTCTCCCCTCTCCCCTCTCCCGTCGGCGCATGGCCTGGTGGTCCAAAGCGCTTGCCCCAGGCGAGTGGCGCGGGTTCGGTTTTGCTCCGCGGCGAGCGCCTACCGTAACCCTGTTGGCTGTCCCGCGGACGGTTACCGGCCAGTAACCAAACCAGCGAGGCTCTGGTGTACCTTTAAAACGTAACGGTCAGGCAAACCTCAGACGAGACCTAGATCCGATGGTCCACATCTCAGACCACTCGACTAGGCGGTGTCTGCCGACACCGTTGCGAGGTGGTGCGTCCAACTTTACGCCTCCTCGTCCATTAAAAGCACAGAGTTCCGGCGCGTCATTCCAGCAAATTTCGAGGAAATCCCGATATTAAAATTGTGTTTATCGCCAAAATCTCTGTACCACTTACACACCGATGAAATGTGTTGTCCATTCACCACGGCTTCCAACAATCCTTTGTTTACATTTTCCCCCACATTTTACACGTAGTAATCTGCACCTCTCGCTTAATAATCTGCAGGTATTAAGTGCAATTTTTCGGACCAATTTTGCTACCGTACCCTGTGGAAACAGGAGAAGAGAGAGAAAGAGAACGAGAGAGGCAGCGTGAGAGAGAGAGGGAGAGAGCGAGAAAGAGAAAGGGCAAGAGAGGCAGCGAGAAAGAAAGAGAAAGGGCAAGAGAGGCAGCGACAAAGAGAAACAGCGAGAGAGAGAGCCACAGTGAGAGATAAAGAGAGTGAGTGAGAAAGAGAAAAACAGAGAGAGAGAGAGAGAGAGAGAGAGAGAGAGAGAGCGAGCGGGAGTAGGGTAGCGAAAGGGAGCGATAGAACCTTACCGTAACCCCCAAAAATTGAACCCAGGTTCCCGATTATAAGCAGATTCGAGGGTCCTGGAAATAATTGGCATTATTGGGCTGAACCCCCGCAATCAAATAGCCCGGAAAAAAATTGTCTAATCCGGATTTATCTGACCGCAGCCCCAAAAAAGGGAATAATTTGATGAGGGGATTTGCCTAAAATATAGATAAACGCAGCAGGGCAGACATACTGTACTTTGATGTCTAGCCCGAATGTTTTGGCGAGCCCCTAAAAAAAGCGGCCATTTAATAATCCGATCATTGGGGGAAGACCGGGTATGTAGAAACATAACATTTATTTGGGGGTTATTTGGGGGAATCTTTGGACTGTTAAGGGATTTGTCGGGTTTTATAGCGCTGCGGGGCCACAAAGAGCAAAAAATATTCCAAAATAACTCATTTAAAGGAACTTTAAAGCGTGATATCGACCCTTGCCTCCACTAGGCCTAGACAGCTACAATCCAAATTTCGTTCATCTGAAAGTTCTGGCTTTCTCTCTCGCTCTATCTCTCTTTCTCTTTCTCTTTCTCTTTCACCCTCTTTCTCGCTCTCTCTCACTATATCTCTTTCTCTTTCTCTCTCTCACTAGTGAAGCTTATTTGGGATTGACATATCTCTCACGCCCTCTCTCGCTCTCTCTTTCTCTTTATCTCTCTCTTGTGCTCCTTCTCGCCCTCTCTCGCTTTCTTTCTCTTTCTCTCTCTCTCTTGCTTTCTTTCTCGCTCTCTCGCCATCTCACTCTCTCGCTCTCTTTCGCTCTCTCTATCTATCTTAAACGTTTCTCAAAGATACCTGACAATTTGATCCTGGCGGTCTAGCAAAGACCTTAGAGGAATTTGGCTTCTCGGCTGATCAGTAGATTCGCCTCTCAACTGTTCGCCCAAACTAATTTTCATCAAAGTCCGGTGGGACGAAAACCCTTTTTCCGGGAAACGGCACCAAAATCCTTTTTCTTCCAGGGT